TCCAGTCCTGCCCCATTTCAGTCTCTGGCTTCTGAAGGTCACACTGGCTTCTCTCCAGTTTGGGACCTGCCTGGGGTCTGTGTGTATACATGGCAGGGGAGGCGGGGCTATAGGGTGGGGTGGAGGACAGGAGCAGTGTCTCTGCTGACCCAATACTCCCCCTTCAGGTTCTTTGCGGTTCCTGTCATGGCCCTGATTGCCAATTTCGGCATCCCCAAGTGGGCCCGGGAGAAGATTGTCAATGGCATCCAGCTGGGGATCCACTTGTACGCCCATGGCGTGTTCCTGGTGAGGATGGGCATCCGTGGGGGCGGAGGGGAGGACCCGAGGGCAGAAGATGCGTGAGGCTCCTATACCTGATCTGCTGGACCTCCTGTTCTGAGGTCTTGATCCATTTTCCCTTTAGTTATTCTTCCTTTATTGAGCGCCCGCTTGCTTCCTGCAGGCTCCTCTACTGTGCCCCTCAGAGTCCATTTTCTTCTTTTATTTTGAGACAGAATCTCACTCTGTCTCCCAGGCTGAAGTGCAATGGCTCGATCTCGGCTCCCTGCAACCTCTGCCTCCCGAGTTCAAGTGATTCTTCTGCCTCAGCCTCCCAAATAGCTGGGATTACAGGTGCCCCCCATCATGTGCGGCTAATTTTTTGTATTTTTAGTAGAGATGGGGTTTCACCATGTTGGTCAGGCTGGTCTCGAACTCCTGACCTCAGGTGATCCACCCGTTTCGGCCTCCCAAAGTGCTGGGATTACAGGCCTGAGCCACCTCTCAGGGCCCATGTCCATTTTCTTCCGTTCCTCTCTCCTACCTTGTGTCCTGGCTTCTTTCCTCAACCCCCATACTCTCTCTTTGCCCTCCCTTCCCATTTCCATTCCTGACCCTGTGTCCCCAGATTCTTCCATTTCTCTTCTGTATCCCCACTGCCTTCCCCACTATCCTTGATCTCTCCACTCTCCCCCTGCCCCCGCCCACATTCTGCCATCACAGGCCATTGTTCAGGAAGAAGCAGCTGGGGTGGCACAGGGTGAAGCTTTTTTTTTTTTTTTTTTTTGAGACGGAGTCTCACTCTGTCACCAGGTTGGAATGCAGTGGCACAATCTTGGCTCACTGCAACCTCCGCCTCCCAGGTTCAAGTGATTCTCCTGCCTCAGCCTCCAGAGTAGCTGGGACTACAGGCGTGTGCCTGGCTAAGTTTTGTATTTTTAGGAGAGATGGGATTTCACCATGTTGGTCAGGATGGTCTCTATTTCTTGACCTCATGATCCATCCACCTCGGCCTCCCAAAGTGCTGGGATTACAGGCATGAGCCACTGCACCCGGACCCCACCACATCTGTTCTTTACCTGGGTTCACATCCTATCTGACATTCTTGGTGACAGTTCTAATAGTCATTAATTTATTCATCAGTTGTTCACTGGACACCTGTCTTGAACCAGTCTGTTTCATTCTAGGAACATCCATATGCATTTATTCCTGCCCTCTTGTTTAATTGTCAGAGCAGCTCCAGGAGAGGGTAGATAATTGACGTTGTTCCCATTACACAGAGCAGGGAAGCTAAGGCCCAGAGAGGAGAAGTGACGTGCTAGGGCTCCGTGGCCTTTGGCGGCAGGCAAATACTTTGAATCCTGTCCTTCTCCAGCAGACCACAAGGTCTGAAATGAAGGGCAACCAGAAAGGGAAACAGGCATGACCAAGTGTCCCAGCTTCTGACTCCGGGTATCTACAACATACACTGTGTAGGGAGTGGGCCCAGCCACTAAGGGAGGGGACAGGTCCCCATCCTTTGCCTCAGAGCCTGACTTAGGTACAGACTCGCTCACCTTCCCAGGCCGGTCCATGCTGAAGCTCTGCAGGAAGTCAGAAAGGGACAGAAAGAGAAGAAACGCTGAGAACCCACCATGTGCCGGGCTCTGCACCAGTGGTTTTCATTTCCACCCTTTCATCTTTCCAAGTAGGCGCTACAATCCCTTTTCCCCACAGCGAGGCTCAGGGAGTTTAATCAACATGCCGCAGATCCCACACTCAGTGAGCTACAGATCCCACAGGCGGGATGGAGGCTCAGAACGGCAAGCGCAGTGCCCTTCCTGCTGTATCTCCGCCAGCTTCCTTCCTAAGGATGCTCACGTTAGCTCAGCACAGCTCCACCTGGGTATCCCACTGCTCATTGCTTTCAGCTCCTTGTTCATTTTTACAGCACAACCTTAGAGGAGCTGTGTTAGGCTTCTGGAATATGGCGAGGGAGTCACAACCAGTCCCTGCTCTCACGGCCTATCAGACTAACTGGTACCAGACATCCCTACATTCCACCAATATTTATTTTATTTTATTTTATTTTATTTTATTTTATTTTATTTTATTTTATTTTTTGAGATGGAATCTTGCTCTGTCACCCGGGCTGGAGTGCAGTGGCATGAGCTGAGCTCACTGCAACCTCTACCTCCTGGGTTCAAGCAGGGTTCTCCTGCCTCAGCCTCCAGAGTAGCTGGGATCATAGGTGCACCACCACACCTGGCTAATTTTTGTATTTTTAGTAGAGACAGAGTTTCACCATGTTGGCCATGCTGGTCTGAAACTCCTGACCTCAGGTGAGCCACTCAGGTCGGCCTCCCAAAGTGCTGGGATTATAGGCGTGAGCCACCGCGCCCGGCCCACCAATATTTATTGAAGGCTTATATGTGCTGGCATGGTTCTAGAAGGTACTAGGGACTCAGTAGGGAACAGAAGAGTCTGGTTCCTGCCTCATGGAGACATTTTAGAGTCTATTAGTTGCTGTTCAGTTGAACTTTCTGTATTTATGAAGATATTCTATTATCTGCACTTTCCAATATGGGAGCTACTAACCATATGTGACTGTTGAGCACTTGAATGTGAGTAGGGCATAGTGAGTGTGTATTGGGGAGTGTGACTGACCAACATTTAAAATTTATTTTGATGAAATTTAAGCTACATGCAGCCAGTGGCTATCATACTGTGCAGGACGCTGACTCTAACCAGTCAGTGATAGCTCAGTGATCAGGGCTCTGATGGAGGAAGCACAGGTCGAGTTGTGTTGAAGGGAAAAGGTGAGGATCCAGGGCACTTTGAGAGCCCAGAGGGGGCACCTAATCCAGTGTGAATGGCTTCAGGAAGTGTGGGGGATGTCAACTGAAAGGGAATCCTTCGAACCCCAAGTTTATGGGGACAGCCTCTGGCCTGACAGTGCCTCTCACACCTGCTCCTGGCCCTGGCCTCAGATCATGACCCGCCCATCAGCGGCCAACAAGAATTTCCCGTACCACGTGCGCACGTCGCAGATCGCATCGGCTGGAGTCCCTGGACCCGGAGGGAACCAATCCGCTGACAAGGCCTTTCCGCAGCACGTCTATGGGAACGTGACGTTTATCAGCGACTCGGTGCCCAACTTCACGGAGCTCTTCTCCATCCCCCCGCCCACCACCTCCGTAAGCCCCGCAGCCCCAGCGCCCGAGGAGCTGCTGGCGCCGCCCCTGGAGTACCTGACCCCGCTCCCGGCCCCGCCGCCGCCCCCGGCGCCCGGGCGCCTGAGCCCTCCCCCTGCCTTTCGCACACCCCACGCCCCAACACCGCGCCGCGACCGTCCCCTGGCGCCCGCGCCCACCCTGCCTGACTGGGTACTGGCGCTGTTGCGCACACCCCTGCAGACGCCCTGCGCCGTGCCCCCACCGCCCGCCTTCCGCGGCTCTCCCCCAGCTCCCCGGCCGCCGCCGGAGTTCGCCCCGCGCGCCCCGACGCCGCCTTTTGAGTACCTGGCCCCGCTGCCCAGGCGCCCCGCCACCCAGTCATTCCCTGACTGACACGTGCGTCCACACCTGGGGTGGAAGGGTTCTCCGGGGGAGGGGGACGGGCCTTCGGGGCCGCATCTGCCCCGCGAGGGTCCGGGACTGCCTCTGACCCTGACCCCCCTCCCAGGCCGGGAAGCAGGTGGAGGAGACGGCGGTGGCGGCGGCGGTGGCCCCGAGGGGCCGCGTGGTGACCATGGCCGAGCCGGGCGCAGCCTCCCCCCCACTTCCCGCTCGGTTCCCCAAGGCGGCCGACCCGGGCTGGGACGGCCCGACGCCGCCCTACCAGCCGCTCGTGCCCCAGACGGCGGCGCCGCACACCGGCTTCACCGAATACTTCAGCATGCACACGGCCGGGGGTACCGCACCCCCGGTCTGAGCACCCCTGCCCGCCCCTGCCCCATGGGCCGTGACCGGGCTCCGGACCCCTGCTTTATCCCGGCCCGAGAGCTCGGCCATCCCGGGCCTTCCCGACCCTTCCTACCCCGCGCGCCCAGGTTGGGTACGCTGCGTCCCGCCCCCCTCCCCTCTGTGCCAAACGATCCCGCGGGAGCCGCTCTCCCCGTCCCCTCCCTCAGCCCCTGCCCCGAACGGCGCCGGATTCTGGGCTCCCGCTGTTCCGTGACCTCCGGCCCCCTGGCCCCCTTCGAGACCTCTGACCCCGCTGGACTCCGGAACACCCGTGGTGACCGCCGGGACCCTGCCTGTGACTCTCCAGGACTCTGCGACCCCGGGATGGATATTGCGATGCTGGTCTCGACCCTGAAACCCTCCCTCGGATCTGTGACCTCGGATCCGTGCTCCGTCTGCCCCTATCTCCATTCCGGGGGCCTTCCCTCGGGTCCCTGGCAGAAAGACATTTCCCCCTTCTTGCCAAAATAAAAAAGATTCGTTTTTATCTATAACATGGCTTCTTTTACATTTTGATGGTGTTCAGCGGCGGGGCTGAGCCAGAACTATGTCAGGCTCGGGGCCTCATTGTGTTCATCTGTGAAATGGGAATTTGGAACCGGAGGCAGAGGCCTGTATAACCTGATCTTTATGTTGCTCCAGAATCTGGGAACGTTGAAGATGATCAAACATCTAGCAGGGCCTTGCACCACTCCTTTATTTTTGCCTTCCTTTCCTCACTCAGAGGTAGAGGCGCCCTCCAGTGGCCCGTGCTTTGCTCAATCACAGGCACCCAGAGTTTGGGTTACGATCTTAGCATTGCGCATGTGTAATTTTCTCGTCTCCAGGAGCATCGCTCCAGGAGGACGCTGCTGCGCATGCGGTTGGGAATAAATGGGCGGGGAATTTCCCCGGAAGTCTCCCTTTATGGAGGATTGGGGTTGGGCGCTCCGCAGTCCTCCCAGGGCCGCTCTGACCGACCGCTCTGCAACTTCTCGCCTCCTCTCCGCCGTGCCTCCCACTGCGGCTCCTCGGCTCTCGGCCCCTCGCCCTCCCACAGCGGGTCTTCCCGCGGCCGCTCTGGCCCAAGCGTCCCCTCGTCTCTCTGATTTGGCCCATCCGGCTTGGGAGGGAGGCGCGGGTGGGTGAGCAAGGGGAGTGCGTCAATGGGGTCCAGGCCCGAGCCCCTGAAGACGGACTCCGCCCCCGGCACCCGCTCGCGCCCCGCCCCCGGCTGGAGGAGTCTCTCCTGGACCATCGGATCCTGGTCTGTCCCGGCCCGCAGCCTCTATGGAGGCTTCTGCCGGGCCGTAGAGCCTTTCGCCCCCTGGGGACTCACCCGTATATAAGGTCCGTTTGGCCTGCAGCAGCCCGAGTCTGTAATACTGGACACTGTTTATGGGGTTGGCCCCCTATGGGGTCCCGTGTCTATAGGGGACCCCCAAGGTCCTTAGGGGTCGTCCCCGTCCATAGTGACTCCATATACAGGGCCCCCATCGCTCTATAGGGCCCAGCCCTCGGCTTCCAGAGCCTGTCAGCAGTGGCCGTTCCCTTCGCCGGGACTGCGTCTCCAGGACCTCCTCGGTCTACAAGGCCATGTTATGCCTATAGAGGTCGCATTGCAGGGCCTCACGCCGGGTAGAGGGTCCTCTCCAGGTTTTTACGGCCCGTTCCCGCTCTAAGGGTCAGTACAGGAGGCGGCGATGGCCCTGGGCAAGGCTCTGGCCACGGCACTGGCTTTGGCCTTGGCCGTGTTGGGGTCGCTGTCCCCTGGGGCCCAGGCGGGGGACTGCAAGGGGCAGCGGCAGGTGTTGCGGGAGGCGCCAGGCTTCGTGACGGATGGTGCTGGCAACTACAGCGTCAATGGCAACTGCGAGTGGCTCATCGAGGGTGAGTGGGGCCGCGTGGGTCACTCACTAATTCGCTGCTAGTTCATTCATGTGTGCATTCATCCACTCACCACATTCCCAGAGCTCGGTTCTGGTCCAGGCCTTTTGCTCTAAAATGCCTGACAGCCAGGGTTGCAGCCAACCTGGGCCCTGCCCTGGAAGGCCTCCCAGTCTGGTGGGGGAGATGCACCTACACCCAGGTTTACAATTACAAGACAGGAGCATCAGTGCCGGGTCTTCTGAGTAACTGTTAAGAACTCAGGGTCTGGATCCAATCATCTGGCTTTGAATTTGGTTCTACTACTACTTCCTTTTTTTTTTTTTTTTTTTTTTTGAGGTGGGGGTCTCACTCTGTCACCCAGGCTGGAGTGCAATGGTACCAACACAGTTTACTTACTGCAGCCTCTACCTCCTGGGCTCAAGTGATCCTCCCACCTCAGCCTCCCAAGTAACTGAGTGTGTAGAGACAGAGTCTCACCATGTTGCCCAGACTAGACCCGAACTCCTGGGCTCAAACGATCCTCACACCTCAGCCTCCTAAAGTGTTGGGATTGTAGGTGTGAGCCACTGTGCCTGGCTTCTTCTTACTAGTTTTGTGATTTTGAGCACGTGACTTTCTTTCTCTGAGATTCAGTTTCCTTCCCCCCACAAATGGGATAACAAGAGTACTCACCTCATAGAATTGTTGCAATGAAATGAAAACGGGTATTTCACGTGCCTGATGTGTGGCATATAGTAACTGTTCTATAAATGGCATTAGGATTATTGTTGTTATTTGTAAAGTACTTCAATAAAAGCATTTTTCTTCTGTCATTCATGTGCCATACATTATGTTTCCCATTGGACATAGCCCAGACTGAGACAGCTCCAGCAATCCCCGGTGACTTAGGTCTTGGAGTCTAGTCGGGGAGACAAACACACTAATAGTGAGAGCCAAGAGTGGTCTGTGATGGAGGAATCCCACAGGCCTGAGAAAGCCCAGAGAAAGTGCCTGATCTGGGGCCGGGGAGAACAGAGAAGCTTCCTGGAGGAGGAAATGTCTAAGCTGAGACCTAAAGGACCAATAGGAATCTGTCAGGAGGGGAGAAAAGGCCCCAGCCCTACCCTTCTGGACTCCCAGTCAGTGGAAGAGACAAACGCACTTCAAGGCTGTTTGTTTTCCTTTTCCACCCAATAAACTCCTATGCATGCCTCAGAACCCTGCCTCACTGGCTCTTTCTCTGTGAAGACTTGTGACTTAACCTGGGGTATAGCTGAGATCAGAGGCATCTGTAGGAGGGAGCAGAACGGCATTCCAGGCAAGAATAGCCGTGCAAAGGTAGGGAAGCAGGAGAGTGATGCTTCTGAAGAACTAGAAATCCAGTGTGTTAAAACATAGAATACTGGCAGAGCATGGTGGCTCATGCCTGTAATCCCAGCCCTTTGGGAGGCCAAGGCCAGCAGACCACCTGAAGTCAGGAGTTTCAGACCAGCCTGGTCATCGTGGTGAAACCCCGTCTCTACTAAAAATACAAAAATTAGCTGGGTGTGATGGCGCATGCCTGTAGTCCCAGCTTCTCAGGAGGCTGAGGCACAAGGATAGCTTGAACCTGGAGGTTGCAGTGAGCTGATGTTGCTCCGCAAAGCTCTAGTCTGGGCGGCAGAGGGAGACTCCATCTTAAAAGCAAAAACCTGGAATACAAGACAACAAATGAGCCAGAGGCTGCAGAGTGGGAGGAGCCAGCAAGTGAAGGGCTTTGTGATTTTGAGCTGTATCCTGAGGGCAAACGGGTGGAAGAGAAGTTGAAAGGCAGTACCTGCAGAAGCCCAGGAAGGCCTCACAGAGTAGTGGATGTAGAAACTGGCCTCCAGACGGGAGGTTCTGGGCAAAGGCCGGAGGTGTGACAGGGCCTGAATCATGCAGGGCCTCCCTTGGGAGGCTGTGAAGCTTTGTCTTTGTCTGGGGGCTCCGGGGAGCTATGGAAGGGTTTTGAGCAGGGAGGGGACATGATCTCATTTATGTTTTAGAAGATCTCTCTGGCTGCTGTGTGGGCTATGGATGAAGGCATGTTTCTCGGTGTTAGCATGTTTACCTGTCCCCAGCTTGGGGGCCATTCCTGTTAAGCTAGTGGGATGAGAACAGAATAGGAAGTGTGTGTGTGTGTGTGTGTGTGTGTGTGTGTGTGGCAAAGGGGTCTGTGTGCTGGATATAAATCACTCTCTGGCCTTAAAGAGTCCCAGACTGGCTAGGCCGGGTGTGATGGCTCACACCTGTAATCCCAGCACTTTGGGAGACCAAGGGGGGCGGATCACCTGACGTCAGGTGTTAGAGACCAGCCTGGCCAACATGAAGAAACCCCCCCTCTACTAAAACTACAAAAATTAGCCCAGCATGGTGGCGCACATCTGTGATTCCAGCTACTCAGGAGGCTGAGGCAGGAGAATTGCTTGAACCCGGGAGGCGGAGGTTGCAGCGAGCTGAGATCACGCCACTGCACTCCAGCCTGGGTGACAGAGCGAGATGCCACCTAAAAAAAAAAGTCTCAGACTGCTTGGGAATAGTGGGGCTGGACACAGATATTCAGTCCCCAGTGTGTTCACTGAGACAGTGCTCAGGGCTGAGAAGGGAAGTGGAGGGGTTGGGTGGATGTACCTAGGGAGGAAAGAGGACTGTGCTGGAGGTCACAGAGGAGGAGCCACTGAAACAGGGTTCTGAAGCATGCGTAGGAGTTTATTGAGTGGGAAAAGGGAACAAACATCCTCTATGAAGACATGAGGGTGGCTGGAGTATCTCAGGATCCCTGTCTAGGTTTGTCTGGTCTGATGGCACTTTTTACTGGGAGGTAATGAGAGCCAGAAGCAGGGGAAGGGGGGCCTTGAATGTCACACTGAGCAGCCTGGCCTTCCCCTTGGGGTTGATGGGGAGCCACAGGAGGTTTTGAGCAGGAGTAGGGCATTGCCCTCAGGCTGGGTGGGGGGCAGACTGGAGACTTGGTGAGCTGATCTGGCAAGAGAGAATGAGTTCCTAACTAGGGCAGGGGCTTAGAGGGGTGGAGAGGTGTAGAGAGTGCAATAGATGTTTGTGGAGTTTCACTGATGAGGCTTGGGGACCAACTGGGTAGATGTTGGGGTGAGGGAGGAGTCTGGGAGACCTCCAGACCCCCCTTGATGATCTGTTCTTACCAATGCCTGTCACTTCTTACCTATGAGAACCAACATCTTCCTGTATCTATTATAAAATAACCGGCCAGGTGCAGTGGCACACGCCTGTAATCCTAGCACTTTGGGAATCTGAGATGGAAGGATTACTTGGAGCCCAGGAGTTAGAGACTAGCCTGGACAACATGGTAAGACACTGTCTCTACAAAAAAATTGCAAAAGATTAGCTGGGCGTGGTGGGTGGTGGCATGTGCCTATAGTCCCAGCTACCGGGGAGGCGGAGGTGGGCAGATCCCTTGAGCCTAGGAGGCTGAGGTCACAGTGAGCCGAGATTGCACTGCTATACTCCAGCCTGGGCAGCAGAGCGAGACCCTGTCTCAAGAAAAAAAAAAGATAAACAACCAACCCACTAACTTTGTATTATGTTCACACTTTACCTAGTCCTAGACTTTTTTTTTTCTGAGACATAATCTTGCTCTGTTGCCCAGGCTGGAGCCCAGTGGCTTGATCTTGGTTCACTGAAGCTTCTGCTTCCCAGGTTCAAGTGATCCTCGTACCTTGGTTTCCTGAGTAGCTGGGATTACAGACATGTACCACCACGCCTGGCTAATTTTTGTATTTTTAGTAGAGACGGGGTTTCTCCATGTCAGCCAAGCTGGTCTCAAACTCCTGGCCTCGAATGATTTGCCCTGGGATTACAGATGTGAGCCACCACGCCTAGCCCAGTCCTAGTCCTTATAACATCTTCATGAATAAGAGGCATCCTGCTTTTGAGCAGGAGGGGTTTGAGATCAGATTTCTGTCTGGAATGGTATGGGGGTTGGGTAGAAACAGACCTTCAATTTAGGGAAGAACTTGGGGAGGCAGATGGTGAACTGGCCTCCGGCAGGCACTTAACAAAGATGTACTTGTGATTCCAGAAACAGAGCTTTATAGTGTGGTTGAGGCTAGTAAGATTCTGGGAGGTCTGGTTGTGTGGCCCTGCTGAATGGTTCTTCTGCGTTCCCCAGAGCATGGGTGGGGTCTGTGTCTGATGTTCTTGGGGGCTCTGGTCAGACCCTGAGGGAGAGCTTCCAGCTTTAGTATTCTTTCTTTTGTGTATTTCTTCATTCCGTCATCCAGCATTTCCTGAGCCTTTGCCAAGCCTAGGTCTGGGCAATGCTGCAGAGGGAATTAGGCCCACATCCAGGCCCTGCCCTATGGGCTTTGTAGGCTGCAGGGAGACAGAACTGGACATAGATGTTCCTGGCCCAGAGGAATGAAGGTTATAATGGGATGTGAGAACCCTGGAGAGGGGCACCTAACCCAGCTAGGGGGCATCAGGAAGAGGGCTGGTGGTGGGAAGAGATAATACGTTGCAGACAGAGGGAGAAGCTTGTACAAAGGCCCAGCTCCCATTAGAGCTGTAAGCAGTGGAGTGATTTGAGACAAAGGAAGGCTCTGAACAGCAGGCTAGGGAACTGGACTTTCTCCTAGGGTGCTAGGGAGCCATGCAGGGCTTTGGGGCAGGGGAGGGATGGGGCCAGATGTTGAGTTGGGAAGATCAGAGACTCATGTCAGGGCAAGAAGGAGGCTGGGTGAATGGTTCTGGTGAGACAGGATGAGGCCAGGCAGCCAGGGCACACCGTGGCTCTAAGCTGGCAGGCTGGAGTCGTCACCTCATTGAATGTTCACTCCAGCCTTTGTGGGTGGGGGGAATTATCTCCATTTTACAGTCATGGAAACTGAGGCTCAGAGAGCCCATGGAACTGGCCCGGGATCACCCAGCCATTGGCAGTGGTGGCTGAGTGTCTCCAGGATCTAGATAGACACACTCAGGGTCATGGGGGAAAGAACTGGCCCAGGGTCCTCCAGCTGGTCATGGGCAGAGCCAGAGCCAGAGCGAGAGCCTAGGCCTCCTAATTTCCCTCACCCAGAGGCCTCCCCTGAGCTGCCTGTTCAGGAGCCTTCTCATGTGGGATGTGGAATGAGAGGGGCTTCCAGAAACAGGACTGGCAGAGAATAAGACAGTGCCAGTGTTAGGGGTAGTGGCACTCACCACGACGATATGTGGGCCTCGTTTTCAGCATTTCTTTTTTTTTTTTTTGAAGCAGAGTTGCACTCTTATCGCTCAGGCTGGAGTGCAATGGTACAATCTCAGCTCACTGTAACCTCTGTCTCCCAGGTTCAAGAATGCTTGTGCCTCAGCCTCCCAGGTAGCTGGGATTACAAGCATGTGCCACCACATCCAGCTAATTTTTTGTATTTTTAGTAGAGACGGGGTTTCACCATGTTGGCTAGGCTGGTCTCGAACTCCTGACCTCAAGTGATCCACCCTCCTTGGCCTCCCAAAGTGCTGGGATTACAGGCATGAGCCACCTACCCCGCTCCGTTGTCACCATTTCATGTGCATTATTGCTCCTCATGAGGTTGCAGTCAGATGTCAGCTGGAGCTGCAGTCAGCTGAATGTTCACCTTGGCTGGACATCCAGGAAGGTCCCTCCCAGGGCTGGCAGTTGATGCTGGCTATCCGCTGGAAGCTCAGTTGGGACTCTCAGCTGGAATGCCTGTGTGTGGCCTTTTCTTGTGGCTTTGGCTTTTCTTTTCTTTTTTTTTTTTTGAGATGAAGTCTTGCTCTTGTCCCCTAGGCTACAGTACAATGGCACAATCTCGGCTCACTGCAACCTCCACCTCCTGGGTTCAAGGAGTTCTCCTGCCTCAGCCTCCTGAGTAGCTGGGATTACAGGCGCCTGCCACAATGCCCAGCAAATTTTTGTATTTTTAGTACAGTTGGGGTTTTGCCACATTGGCTAGGCTGGTCTCAAACTCCTGACCTCGTGATCTGCCTGCCTTGGCCTCCCAAAGTGTTGGGATTACAGGTGTGAGCCACCGTGCCTGGCCAGCTTTGGTTTTTCATAGCATGACAGCTGTGTTCTGAGAAGGAGTGTTCTATGAGGCCCAGGTGAAAGGTACAAGTCCTCTTATGATCTAGCCTTGAAAGTTTCAGAATTTCTGCTGTTTTTTAATTGGTCAAGCAAGTCACTAAGGCTTTTCCCAGATACAAGGGGCAGGGAATTACCTTTCAGTGGCAGGAGTGGCCTATAAGTTTGAATCCACTACAGTACCACTATATCCCACTTTACAGATGAGGAGACCAATCCAGAGAGGGTGGGTTACTTGGCCAAGATCACACAGCTAGTAGCTATTCAGTGACAGAGCCAAGACATAAGCTCAGGCAGTCTGGTTCCAGAGTTTGTGCTTGTAGCCATCACAGTAAACAGAGGTGAGACTCTGGATGGGGACAGAGGGGAACTATGCTGCTCCAAGGTTAGGCCTCTCTTCAGGGGGAAGAAACTGGACTCTTCTCTTGAAGCTCTGTTCAGCGAGGGCCAGGGGACTGTCACAGAGGTGCTTTTCTCACTGGGATTATGACCTTGACCCTCCAGCCTGGACATGTCTGAAGCTCAGGCATGGACAGGAAGAGAGAGGCATCAGGAATACTGTGGCTTCTGCTCTGTGTGGCCACTGGGATGGGGTTTTCTCTCTGCACTTTATTTTCCCATCTGAATGGTGGGGATGTTCATTCTGATCTCAGGTGACCTTTCTAGAGGTCTGGAATATTGTGATTCTTTCTCTGGGCACCTGTCCCTCCGGCTGTCATAGCCCTTGACTGCCCTAGGTTATGAGACTGGGAGCCCCTCCAAGGTGAGGTCCAGGTCTGACTCATCCTTGAGCCCCCAGCATCACCTGGAGCAGGGTTTGGTGTACAATAGTGGCTGCAGGGAGGTGTGGGGAAAAGGTCCGCTTTAGAGCTTAGTCCCTCTGTGCTCACCTCCCAGCCCCAAGCCCCCAGCACCAGATCCTGCTGGACTTCCTTTTCCTGGACACAGAGTGCACGTATGACTACCTGTTTGTGTATGACGGTGACTCCCCGCGAGGGCCGCTGCTTGCCAGTCTGAGTGGGAGCACCCGGCCTCCGCCCATCGAAGCTTCCTCAGGCAAGGTTAGTGGGGATGGGGCTGTGGGTAGATAAACCAAGGGAAATGGAAGAAGAAAGGAGGGGCAGAGAGTCAGTAAGAGGGCATTCGAGAGCAGAGCACAGGGACAAGGGAAGGTGGAGAGAGGCAAAGGAAGGAGATGAGGCTCTGGGTCCCCTAGGATAGAAGGGGACAGGAGTGGGCCACCCTCCCAGGCCAATCCCCAGGCTCTGCCCACCTTACCCAGCCCACCTTGTGCTTGCAGATGCTGCTGCACCTCTTCAGTGATGCCAACTACAACCTACTGGGCTTTAACGCCTCATTCCGCTTCTCCCTGTGCCCGGGTGGCTGCCGGAGCCACGGGCAGTGCCAGCCGCCGGGTGTGTGTGCCTGTGAGCCGGGCTGGGGGGGTCCTGACTGTGGCGTGCAGGAGTGCTCAGCCTACTGTGGCAGCCATGGCACCTGCGCCTCGGTGAGCTGGTCCCCAGCCCTGTTTCCCCTGGGGCCCTGATCTGTGAGCATACTCTCCACGCCTATCTCCTAGGTCTGACCTTGCTCCTGCATGAAACTCCCCCCACCACCCCACCCTGCTCCATGATACCCACTTCCCTCTCCTTCCAGAGCTTGCCCCCAACCTGTTACTCCGACCCCACCCCACATTCACCTGCAGGCCCTCCCCTGCTGAGCGTACCCGACTCTCACCTGTGAACACCACCCTCCTTCCTCCAGCCAGGCCCAACTCCGTCCTCCCATCCAGCCACTCTGTGTGGCCTTGGACCCCCTGCCATGACTTCCAGCCTCGCACCGCTGACCTTTCGCTGAAGTTGTGCACACCCAGCTTTCAATCTGGATTGCGCTTTGAGCCCTCCCCGCCTTGACCTCCCCAGATCTGAGCTCTTTCAGTTCAGGCTGAATGTCAACCATGCTGTTTGTCTTCTCCAGCCTGCCTTCTTTCTGTCTTTTCTCCTTTTTCTCTGTGTGTCTTTTCCTTTTTCTGTTGGTCTTTTTTCCATCTGTCTGCTTCCTTCTGGTTGTGTCTCTTTGTCTCTTGTTTCTGTCTGACAATTTGCCTTTCCCCTCTTCCTGTCTCTCTCTGTCTCCTTTTCTTTCTCTCTCTTTCCGTTTCCATTCTCTCCCTTCCTATCTATCTCTTTCTCTCTCCCTTTGTGCCTGTCTCATTCTGCCTCTTTTTGTCTTTGTGTCTCCTTTGTCTCTGTCCTTGTCTCTCTGTCTCTTATCTCTGTCTTTATGTCTCCTTCCCCACAGCCCCTGGGACCATGCCGCTGTGAGCCTGGCTTCTTGGGACGTGCCTGTGACCTGCACCTGTGGGAGAACCAGGGGGCTGGCTGGTGGCACAACGTGAGTGCTGGGGACCCTGCCTTCTCTGCCCGTATTGGAGCAGCTGGCGCCTTCCTGTCCCCACCGGGGCTGCTGGCAGTTTTTGGAGGTGAGCAGATAGGGCGAGTATCTGGGGTCTGGAGGCCTGGCAGCCTGTGGCCAGGTCATGAGACTGTCCACCCCTCCGCAGGCCAGGACCTCAACAATGCCCTGGGTGACCTCGTCCTATACAACTTCTCCGCCAACACCTGGGAATCCTGGGACCTGAGTCCTGCCCCGGTATGACCCCTCCTCTGCCCTGGAGGAGCCTGTACACTCAATCAGACCCAGCTAGGGACCCCTAGACTGACCCCCTATCACCCAGTGCTCCCCCAGTTCCCGCAGCTTGATGTAGGAACCTACTTCTCCCTGTTTCTGCCTTTTCTCTCTGATTTTCTTTTTTCTTCTTTTTCTTCCTTTATCTGCCTTTGTGTATCTTACTTTTCCACGTGTCTCCTGTCGCTCGATCTGTCTCTGTTTTCATCTGTCTGACTTTTGGGCTTCTGTGTTCTCCGTTTCTGTGTCTCCATTTCTCTGGGTCTGTTTCTGTCTGCCATTTGTCCCTCTAACTCTGTCTTCTTGCCTCTTCCCTCTCCTATTGTGTTTCTCTGTTTCTATGAATCTGTCTCTTCTTTTCTCTTTCTACCGGTCTCTACCTTTCTCTTTGTCTCTGTCTTTATCTCGCCTTCTCTTTATGTTTCTCTGGCTCTGCATCTCTCTGTCTGAGCCTGGCTCTGGCTCCCTTGCTATGTCTTTACCTCTGTTTCTTGTCTCTTCCTCACAGGCTGCCCGTCACTCCCATGTGGCCGTGGCCTGGGCCGGCTCCCTGGTGCTGATGGGTGGTGAGCTGGCAGACGGCTCGCTCATCAACGATGTGTGGGCCTTCAGTCCACTGGGCAGGGGCCACTGGGAGCTCCTGGCACCACCTGCCTCCAGCTCCTCGGGGCCCCCAGGCCTGGCAGGTCATGCGGCTGCCCTGGTGGATGATGTCTGGCTATATGTGTCTGGAGGCCGTACCCAGCACGACCTCTTCTCCTCTGGCCTCTTCCGTTTCCGCCTTGACAGCACCAGCGGGGGCTATTGGGAGCAGGTGATTCCAGCAGGTGGACGGCCCCCTGCTGCCACCGGCCACTCCATGGTGTTCCATGCCCCGTCCCGTGCCCTGCTGGTCCATGGTGGACACCGGCCCTCCACTGCCCGGTAAGTGACCTGTCCCACAACCCATGCCCCACAGGCCAGGCCCAGGTCAACACCATAGGCCTTTAGTCTTTAGAGGTCTTTGCCCACTATTGGACTCCTGTGGTCTTTCAGTCACTCCTTCCTTTGTGTATTTACTTATTCCTTCATTCACTCATTCACTCACTCACCCACTCACGCATTCTCTGATGTTTTATTCAATGTCTTGGTGAATTGCCTCCCACATACTCCCACCCATGTATCCATTCAACAGAGCCCTGCTTGGTGTCCACCCCTTGCTAGCTTATGCGGGTAACCCAGAGATGACTCAGAGTCCTGCCCACAGGGAACTTCTAGTTTGGAGGGGACATAGAGGCAGTCATGGTCAGTCTCACCCCTGGGTGATCACATGGCTCCTAAGAGCCTGAAGGAGGGAGAGGGACGCTTCCTGCCCTAAGCCCCTGCCCTGCTTCTCCTTTGATAGGTTCTCTGTGCGAGTGAACTCCACTGAGCTTTTCCATGTGGATCGGCGTGTGTGGACGACGCTGAAGGGGCGGGATGGGCTTCAGGGCCCAAGGGAGAGAGCCTTCCACACAGCCAGTGTTCTGGGCAACTACATGGTGGTCTATGGTGAGGAGGCTCCCCAATCCTGCCTGCCTGCCGAGGGCCTGAGCCAACCCTGAGCTGAGGCTCCCTGCATGGCAGTCCCCACCTCCACCAGGCTTGCCAGCTATGCCCCTTTCCTTCTTTCCCAGGGGGCAATGTGCACACTCATTACCAGGAGGAAAAGTGCTACGAAGATGGCATCTTCTTCTACCACCTTGGTTGCCATCAATGGGTGTCAGGAGCTGAGCTTGCCCCGCCAGGAACCCCTGAGGGTGAGTGGTCCCTGTTCTTCCCTAGGGACTCCCAAGGGTCCCACCTCCCTCCACAGTGATTCTGGACTCAAGCTACCTCAGTCTGTAAGGGTGAGCCTGACATCCAGGTCAGTTGGTGCCAGCCTCAGGAGGCGAGCCTGGGATGGAGATGGGACCAGGGCATCATCACTATGGAGATGGAGGCCCTTATGGCAATATCCAATGTGGATTCCAATCCAGGTTTTGCCAGTTTCCAGCTGCCCCAGGGAAATGCCTAAGAGACAGCAACTTTTCCTTCTTTTTCATTTTCTTTTCTTTTTTTTTTTTTTGAGATGGAGTCTTGCTCCATCGCCCAGGCTAGAGTGCAGTGGCGTGATCTCAGCTCACTGCGACCTCCACCTCCTGGGTTCAAGCGATTCTCCTGTCTCAGCCTCCTGGGTAGCTGGGATTATAGGCATGCATCTCCATGCCTGACTAATTTTTTTGTATTTTTAGTAGAGACATTGTTTCATCATGTTGGCCAGGCTGGTCTCAAACTCCAGACCTCAAGTGATCCGCCTACCTTAGCCTCCCAAAGTACTGAGATTACGTGTGTGAGCCACCGTGCTCGGCTTTTTTAACTTTCAATTTAGGTTCAGCAGTACCTGTGCAGGTTTTTTATATAGGTAAATTGTGTGTCATGGGGATTTGGTGTACTGATTATTTCATCACCCAGGTATTAAGCCTAGTACCCAACAGGTAGTTTTTTTCTTGTGTTTGTTTGTTTGTTTGTTTTGAGAAGGAGTCTTACTCTGTTACCCAGCTGGAGTGCAGTGGCGCAATCTCGGCTCACTGCAACCTCCACCTCCTGGGTTCAAGTGACCCTCCCGCCTCAGCCTCCTAAGTAGCTGGGAGTATAGGCGCATACCACACCCAGCTAATTTTTTTTTTTATTTTTAGTAGAGATGAGGTTTCACCGTGTTGGCCAGGCTGGTCTTGAACTCCTGACCTCAGGTGATCTGCCAGCCTTAGCCTTCCAGAGTGCTGGGATTACAGGCATGAGCCACCGCGCCCAGCCCCAGTAGGTAGTTTTTTTATCCTCTCCCTCCTCCAACCCTCAGGTAGGCCCCTCAAGAGTGTTGTTCCCTTCTTTGTGTCCATGTGCACTCGATGTTTGGCTCCCACTTGTGAGAACATGCAGTGTTTGGTTTTCTGTTCCTGTATTAATCTGCTTAGGATAAGGGTCTCCAGCTCCATCCACGCTGATGGAAAGAACATGATCTCATTATTTTTTATAGCCACGTAGTATTCCACGATGTATATGTACCACATTTTCTTTTTTTTTTTCTTTCTATATATTTTTTTGAGATGGAGTTTCACTCTTGTTACCCAGGCTGGAGTGCAATGGCATGATCTCAGCTCACTGCAACCTCCACCTCCCAGGTTCAAGTGATTCTCCTACCTCAGCCTCCCGAGTAGATAGAATTACAGGCGCCCACCACCACACCTGGCTAATTTTTGTATTTTTAGTAGAGATGGGGTTTCACCATGTTGGCCAGGCTGGTGTCAAACTCCTGACCTCAGGTGATCCACCCGCCTTGGCCTCCCAAATTGCTGATATTACAGGCGTGAGCCAATGCGCCCGGCCTCCATTTTCTTTATCCAGTCTATCACTGATGGGCATTTAGGTTGATTCCATGTCTTTGCTATTGTAAACAGTGCTGCGATGAACATGCACATGCGTGTGTCTTTATGGTAGAACAATTTGTATTCCTTGGGGTATATACCCAGTAATGGGATTGGTGGGTCAAATGGTAATTCTGTTTTAAGTTATTTGAGAAATCTTCAAACTGCTTTCCACAATGCCTGAACTAATTTACATTCCCATCAGCAGTAGTAAGCATTCATTCCCTTTTCTCTGCAACCTCACTCACATGTGTTATTTTATTTATTTATTTATTTATTTTGAGACGGAGTCTGGCCCTGTTGCCCAGGCTGGAGTGCAGTGGCGCGATCCTGGCTCACTGCAAGCTCCACCTCCTGGGTTCACGCCATTCTCCTGCCTCAGCCTCCCGAGTAGCTGGAACTACAGGCGCCTGCCACCACGCCCAGCTAATTTTGTTTTTGTATTTTTAGTAGAGACGGGGTTTCTCTGTGTTAGCCAGGATGGTCTCGATCTCCTGACTTCGTGATCCGCCTGCCTCGGCCTCCCAAAGTGCTGGGATTACAGGTGTGAGCCACTGTGCCCAGCCGCATGTGTTATTTTTTGACTTTTTGATAATAGCTATTCTGACTGGTGTGAGATGGTATCTCACTGTGGTTTTGATTTGCATTTCTCTCATTATTAGTGATATTGAGCATTTTTTTCATATGCTTATTGGCCATGTGTATGTCTTCTTTTGAAAAATGTCTGTTCATGTCCTTTGTCTACTGTTTAATCAGATTGTTTTTTGCTTGTTAGTTTATTTAAGTTCCTTATAGGTTTTGGATATTAGACTTTTGTTGGATGCGTAGTTTCCAAATATTTTCTCACGTTGTTTTTTTACTCTGTTGATAGTTGTTTGCTTACTCTGTTGATAGTTCTTTAGCAGCAACTTTTTCAAGATCACGGTAGATAAGTGACAGAGACAGCATGGCTATCCCCAAACAACCATCTGTATAAAACTATCACTTAAGGCCGGGCGCGGTGGCTCACGCCTGTTATCCCAGCACTTTGGAACACCATGGCGGGCAGATCATGAGGTCAGGAGATCGAGACCATCCTGGTTAACATGGTGAAACCCCATCTCTACTAAAAATACAAAAAAATTAGCCCGGCATGGTGGCGGGCGCCTGTAGTCCCAGCTATGTGGGAGGCTGAGGCAGGAGAATGGCGTGAACCCGGGAGGCGGAGCTTGCAGTGAACCGAGATCGCGCCACTGCACTCCAGCCTGGGCGACAGAGCCAGACTCCGTCTCAAAAAAAAGAAAAAAAAAAATTTTGGCTGGGCGCAGTAGCTCATTCCTGTAGTGCCAGCACTTTGGGAGGCCAAGGCGGGCAGATCATGAGGTCAGGAGTTCGAGACCAGCCTGGTCAATATGGTGAAACCCCGTCTCTACTAAAAATACAAAAATTAGCTGGCGTGGTGGTGGATGCCAGTGGTCACAGCTACTCAGGAGGCTGAGGCAGGAGAATCACTTGAACCAGGGAGGCGGAGGTTGCAGTGAGCCGAGATCACACCATTGCACTCCAGCCTGGGTAACAGAGGGAGACTCCATTTCCCCCCCAAAAAAAAAAAAAAATTTTTTTTTTTTGTAGCCATTAGACCTGACTATGTTGCCCAGGCTGGTTTTAAGCTCCTAGGCTCAAATCATCCTTCCATCTCAGCCTCCCAAATAGCTGTGACTATAGGTACACACCACCACACCTGGCTAATTAAAAAAAAAAAAAATTTTTTTTTTTTTTTAGAGATAGGGTCTTGCTGTGTTGTCCAGGCTAGTGTTGAACTCCTGGCCTCAAGCGAGCTTCGTGAGACCCAGCCTCCCAAAGTGCTGGGATTACAGACGTGAGCTACTACGCTCAGCCATGTTGTCTTTCTTATAGCAGTGAGGGTCCTGTCTCAGGGCCAGAGGAGTCACCAGGGAGGAGATACGGAGAAATGTTTCACTCTTATTAGATCAGACACTGCTTTGAAATCGGATGAAAGCCACATGCCCTCTCTTCAGAAGATACTTATACCCACAGGTTGGGCGTATCACTTCGGGGACGTGTGGGCTTCCCAGAGTCCCATCTGTTCACTCCTCCTCCCTGAAAAGGAAAGAGAGGAGAGGGCAGGTTTAAGGAAGGAACCTTACCACTTACGGGATGGGGAGGAGGAAAGGCCCTAGAGGAACCCTGTGTGACCATCAGTAATAAAGTCCAGACCCGGTGTCTGAGGCCCTCATTCTAGGTCTCGTCTGCCTATCCCTTGGTCCCCTTCACTGGGCAGGAGTCAGGAGTGTGATGTTTCTGGAGGCCTCTTCCTGCTTCGCAGTTTGTGATTCCCCGGGCCAAGTCCCACACGTTTACAGTGCATGCAGGTCGGTAAGAGGGTAGGGAAGTCACCATTCACTGACCACTTACCTGTCAGTCAGGATTCTTGGCTGTAACTGACAGAAATCCAACCCAGCTGGCTTAAGCGAAAAGGAGAATTTCCTGGCTGACTTGAGTGAAAACTATAGGGCCTATCTTCAGGCTGGATCTAGGTGCTCACAAAATGGCATCGGCCACTTCTCACTCAATTTTTCAGCTGGGTTCACTTCAGTCTCTTGCCTTGTGTAGATGGTCACAGGCAGCTCGTGGATTACCTCCTACTGCTGTAAAATGCCCAGAGAGAAGAGAGTGTCTTTGCCCCAAGAATTGAGAATCAGGCCCTGTACCCCTCCCCGAGCCAGTCACTGAGACTGATGGGCCTGGGCTAAGGCCTCACTTCTGCCAGAACCAGGGACAACTCCACCTAAGTCTCATGGACTGGGAGAGGGAAAGGTTGGTTTTCCAGAGGAAAATCAGGCGCTATCATCAGAAGAGAGGCTGGTGCTAGACAGACAAAAACAGGAGACTGAGGCAGCCTGCTGGGGGCTCAGCAGATTCTTCCGTCCTCCCAGCTCCTTGAGGACGAGATGATGGTTTTTTTTATAGAGGAGGAAACCAAGACTCAGAGTTCATTCTCCTGTCCAGGATCACACAGCTAGTCAGTAGTTGATCCACAATTTGAACCCAAGTAAGTGGTAGACCCGGGATTTGAACCCAAGTCTTTCTGACTCTAAAGATCAGAAAGATGATTTGGGTAGGGGTGAGGGAGCTCAGCTTGTTCAGGGCCAGGTGGGCTGGGAGAGTGTCCTTGGGTAGGTGAGGTTGAAGCAGCCACCAGAATAGAAGGCTGGACTGTGGCCCAGGAGAATCGGGAGCCATGGAGGTGGTGGAGGGGCTGAGAGTCTAATAATGTCATTGGGGTCTCTATTCCTTTAGGCCGAGCAGCGCCTCCCAGTGGTCGGTACTCACATGTGGCTGCGGTGCTTGGTGGCAGCGTCCTGTTGGTGGCTGGGGGGTACAGCGGCCGGCCCCGTGGGGACTTGATGGCGTACAAGGTGCCCCCCTTTGTGTTCCAGGCACCTGCCCCTGACGTGAGCACTGAGGTGACAGGGAAAGGGTGGCTGGGGTAGGAGGTAGCAGGGTTTCCAAAGGTGAGGGGAAAGGTAGGAGGGGATCCCTGGGAGAAGGAGGGGGGATCCCTAGGGCCATGAGGGAAGGGAAGGAGATCCCCAGAGCAGAGGAAAGAGGAGCTAGAGGTCCCTGGGCCTGGGGGAGGAACGGATGGACGTGCTGAGCACTCAGGGTCCTCTGGGATAGCTAAAGCGAACGGGGACTTGGGAGGCCGGCCCAGGCCTGAGAGGCTTGTCCTCCGTCCCCTTGCCTCCCTGCAGTACCACTTGGACTACTGCTCCATGTACACAGATCACAGCGTGTGCTCCCGGGACCCGGAATGCAGTTGGTGCCAAGGAGCCTGCCAAGCTGCACCCCCTCCTGGGACCCCCTTGGGGGCTGTAAGTGACTGCCCTAGACCCTCTGTTCCCTAGCACAGACCTGTCCTCCCTCAGTGTCTCCCTCTGCCTAACCAGCTGGACAAGGACTTTCCCTCAACTGGGAGACTTGTTTTCATGCCGAAGATCCTCCTTCCTGATTCCAGACCGCAGAGCCTGAATCTTTGCCTATCCCACCCAGCCCGACCCTTTTGAACCCGTGACCCCATCCCCGCATCCCCCGTCCTCTGAATCTCCCACATTCCAAGTCGTCTTTCAACTCCCTGTTCTTCAGTTTTTTGGCCCTTTCCATCACAGGACCCTGTATCCACAGCCCTTCCTTCCCAGATCTCTTGAGCTCCAGTGGACAGTGAGCCCTTTCCCCTCTCCTCCTCGCAGTGTCCAGCCGCCAGCTGCCTGGGCCTGGGCCGCCTCCTGGGTGACTGCCAGGCCTGCCTGGCCTTCAGTAGCCCCACAGCCCCTCCACGGGGACCCGGCACCCTGGGCTGGTGTGTGCACAATGAGAGCTGCCTCCCTCGGCCTGGTGAGTGTCCACAGCAGTGGGCTGGGGGGAGGGGACCGAAGCACTCCACACTGACCCACCAGCCCCCACCCGCTGTCCTCTCAGAGCAGGCCCGCTGCCGAGGGGAGCAGATCTCAGGCACGGTGGGCTGGTGGGGGCCTGCGCCTGTTTTCGTCACGTCCCTGGAGGCCTGTGTCACCCAGAGCTTCCTGCCTGGCCTACACCTGCTCACCTTCCAGCAGCCGCCCAACACCTCCCAGCCTGACAAGGTGGGTAGGAGGTGTGGCCTTCGGTGGGGTGTTGATGATGATCTTGATCCTAGGGTTTGTTTTTTCTCAAATGCATCTTTATCACTCTTGTGTTTACTCCAAAAGTCTTTACATTCAAGGGTCTGATTTTCCTTATGGACTTTATTCTTTATTTTTATTTTTATTTTTAGAGGGAGTCTCACTCTGTCGCCCAGGCTGAAGTGCAGTGGTGCAGTCTCGGCTCACTGCAACCTCTGCCTGCTGGGTTCAAGTGATTCTCCTGCTTCAGCCTCCTCAGTAGCCGAGGTTACAGACGCCCGTCACTGTGCCTAGCTAATTTTTGTATTTTAGTAGAAGACGAAGTTTCACCATGTTGATTAGGCTGGTCTTGAGCTCTTGATCTTAAATGATCTGCCTGCCTTGGCCTCCCAAAGTGTTGGGATTACAGGCGTGAGCCACTGTGCCTGGCCTCTTTATAGATTTTAAAAAGAATTTTTGCACTGTGGTAAAATACAGATAAAAATTTTCATCAGTGACATTTAGCACATTTACAATATTGTGCAACCATCACCACTATCTTGTTACAGAACATTTTCATCATCCCAGAGGACAACCCTGGACTCACTAAGTAGTCACTCTCTATTCCACTCTCCCCCGAGTCTCTGGCAGCCACTTATCTGTTTTCCATCTCTGGATTTGCCAGTTCTGGACATTTCATGTACATGGAGGCCTATGCTATGTGGCCTTTTGTGTCTGTCTTCTTTCACTCAGCATAGTGTTTTCAAGGCTCATTCATTTTATAACTTCATTCGGAAAGGAACTCTGTTCCTTTTTGTGATTGAGTAATATTCCATTGTGTAGCTGTACCACATTTTGTTTATCCATTCGTGTCAGCTGATGGACGTTTGGACTGTTTCCATCTTTTGGCTATTGTGAATAATGTCGCTGTACACATTGTGTACACTTGTATACACATTTTTGTTTGAACATCTGTTTTCAATGCTTTTGGCTGTATACCTAGGAGAATTGCTAGGTTATATGGTAATTCCATATTCATGTTATTGAGGAATGTCCAAACTGTTTTCCACAGTAGCTCTTTATTGATTTTTTTTTTTTTTTTTTTTTTTTTTGAGACAGAGTCTCTCTCTGTCTCCAAGGCTTCCCAGGCTGGAGGTGCAGTGGCACGATCTCGGCTCACTGCACCCTCCAGCTCCTGGGTTCAAGTGATTCTCCTGCCTCAGGAGAATCACTGCTGGGTAGCTGGGACTACAGGCACCTACCACCAAACCCAGCTAATTTTTTGTATTTTTAGTAGAGACGGGGTTTCACCATGTTAGCCAGCATGGTCTCGATCTCCTGACCTCTTGATCCACCCGCCTCAGCCTCTCAAAGTGATGGGATTACAGGCGTGGGCCACCACGCCTGGCCTCTTTATTGATTTTTAAAATAGCTCATATATTCACATGGTTGAAAAATCACAGTGATATCAAAAGTCATTGGGGCTGGACACGGTGGCTCACATCTGTAATTCCAGCACTTTGGGAGGCTGAGGTGGGCGGATCTCTTGAGGTCAGGAGTTTGAGACCAGCCTGGGTAACGTGGCAAAACCCCGTCTCTACTAAAAATACAAAAATTAGCTGGGCGTGATGTCGGGTGCCTGTAATCCCAGCACTTTGGGAGGCTAAGGCGGGGGGATTACTTGAGGTCAGGAGTTGGAGACCAGCTGGCCCAACATTGTGAAACCCCGTGTCTACTAAAAATACAAAAATTAGCCACACATGGTGATGCGTGCCTGTAGTCCCAGCTACTTGGGAGGCTGAGGGAGGAGAATCTCAAGCCTGGGAGGCAGAAGTTGCAGTGACCCAAGATCATGCCACTGCACTCCAGCCTGGGCAACAGAGTGAGACTCCATTTTAATTAAAAATAAATAAATAAAAGGCCAGGCGCGGTGGCTCGCACTGGTAATGCCAGAACTTTGGGAGGCCGAGGCAGGCGGATCACAAGGTCAGGAGATCAAGATCATCCTGGCTAACACAGTGAAACCCCGTCTCTACTAAAAATACAAGAAAATTAGCCAGGCATGGTGGTGAGTGCCTATAGTCTTAGCTACTTGGGAGGCTGAGGCAGGAGAATGGCATGAACACGGGAGGCGGAGCTTGCAGTGAGCAAGATCGCTCCACTGCACTCCAGCCTGGGTAACAGAGTCTCAAAAAAAAAAAGAAAAAGAAAAAGAAAAAAAAAGTCATTAAATGGACAGTCTCTCTCATTTACCCAACTCCCTACCCCTTAAGTGGTCCAGAATTATCTAGCCCCAGCTTGGCTGCAACTTAAGGCCACCATACCTCCCTGGAAGATCCATTTGGGTTTCTTTGATCTCATTCCAGAATTTACCTATTCAAATACAAGGAAGCATGACATCGTATCATTTTTCTTTCACACGAAAGTAACATTATGAATACTACACGACTGCTTCCTTTTTTTCTTCCTGGCAAGCTTCCTCTAACAGAACTTGAGAAACACTCTCGTTCTTTTTTTTTTTTTTTTTTGAGATAGAGTCTCTCTCTTTTTTTTTTTTTTTTTTTTGAGACAGAGTCTCGCTCTGTCACCCAGGATGGAGTGCAGTGGCCAGATCTCGGCTCACTGCAAGCTGAGATGGAGTCTCTCTCTATCGCCCAGGCTCGAGTGCAGTGGCAAGCAATGTCAGCTGACTGCAACCTTGCCTCCTGGGTTTAAGTGATCTTCCCACCTCAGCCTCCCGAGCAGCTGGGATTACAAGCATGTGCCACCATTCCTGGCTGGTTTTTGTATTTTTTTTTGTTTGTTTTGAGATGGAGTTTCGCTCTTGTTGCCCAGGCTGGAGTGCAATGGGGCAATCTCGGCTCACTGCAACCTCTGCCTCCTGGGCTTGAGCGGTTCTCCTGCCTCGGGCTCCCAAGTAGCTGGGATTACAGGTGCACGCCACCACTCCAGGCTAATTTTTTGTATTTAGTAGAGATGGGGTTTCACCATGTTGGTCAGGCTGGTCTTGAACTCCTGACCTCAAGTGATCTGCCCGCCTCGGCCTCCCAAAGTGCTGGCCGTGCCTGGCTTTCATTCTTTTTTTTTTTTTAAACAGTTGTATGACATTCCATTTACATTTGTAGTTTATTTAAATAGCCTCCCACTGGTGAACACTTGGACTGTTCCACTGTTCTGCTATTACAAAATCACACACCAGGAAAATAAATCTTGCACTTTGTCACTTTGAATATTAGATCTGGGCTTTGAAGTGCTTAGCTGAAAAGGTGAGGAGTTGGATAAGAAGACACTGAAGTGTCCAGTCCTGGAGTTTTAATGTGAGATGGAAATGGCAAGAGGCCAGGGGTAAAGGTGGGCTCTGGGACCCTGTTGTCTATTGTCTGAATTTAGGTCTTGCCTCTTTTCCCAGAGTGACCTTTGACAAGCCACCTAACCCCTGTCCCTCGGCCTCAATCTCTCATTTGGTAAAATGGGGAAGAAAGTTAGGTTGACCAGTCTTTTCTGGCTCTGATGTGGCCTCAGGGGTGTGGAGACTTGGGGACAGTCCAGAAAGGGACTCACGTATACACCCATCCCTGGTTGCATAGGTGTCGATTGTCCGCAGCACGACCATCACCCTGACACCCAGCGCAGAAACAGATGTGTCCCTGGTCTACCGTGGCTTCATCTACCCAATGCTGCCTGGAGGGCCGGGTGGGCCAGGGTCTGAGGACGTGGCTGTGTGGGCCCGGGCCCAGCGCCTACACGTTCTGGCCCGGATGGCCCGTGGCCCTGACACAGAGAACATGGTGAGGCTGCCTGGGACATTCAGGGGGGTGTTTATGGTAAATATGGGAGCTAGGGGTGTGGTACAGGGCATCTGTGGTGATTTGAAGGTTCTGGGGGAGGACTGGGGAGAAATCAGAGGCAGGAGATGGATTATTATTAGTATTTTTTTTGTGTGAGACAGTCTCACTGTGTTGTCCAGGCTGGAGTGCAATGGCGCGATCTTGACTTACTGCTACCTCCCCCTCCCAGGTTCAAGCAATTCTCCTGCCTCAGCCTCCTGAGTAGCTGGGATTACAGACATGCACCATCACGCCCGGCTAATTTTTTTGCATTTTAAGTAGAGATGGAGTTTCACCATGTTGGCCAGGCTGGTTTGGAACTCCTGACCTCAGATGATCTGCCTGCCTCAGCCTCCCAAAGTGCTGGGATTATAGGCGTGAGCCACTGCGCCCGGCTGGGGATGGATCTTCAGTAGAGGAGGGAGGGTGCTGAAGTTTTCAATTGTGAGCAGAATTTGAGGGCAACTTTGAAGGAGGTGAGGAAGGTCTGAGTCAGACCTGAAAGGCCCCTGAAGGCCGGGCGTGGAGGTGTACACCTGTAATCCCAGCCCTTTGGGAGGTAGGGGCAGGTGGATTGCCTGAACCCAGGAGTTTGGGACCAGCCTGGGAAACATGATGAGACATCATCTATCCAAAAAATACAAAAATTAGCTGGCCATGGTGGCATGCACCTGTAGTCCCAGCTATTTGGGAGGCTGAGGTGGGAGGATCACTTGAACGTGGGAAGTTGAGGCTGCAGTGAGCCATGATCGTGTCACTGCACTCCAGCCTGGGTGACGGAATGAGACCCTGTCTCAAAAAAAAAAAAAAAAGCCCCTGAGGAGGAGGAGGGTCCCTGGGGGTCTCACCTCCGAGGTTCTCAGGATCTAAGGAGCTCTGAGGCCCTCTTCTTAGGAGGGGGTGGGGTGCAGGGTGGGTTTGGAGGTATCAGGGGTCTGAGGAAGGAATGAGAAGGGTTCTGAGGCCCCTGCCTGTCACTCACCCCTACCCCAGGAGGAGGTGGGGCGCTGGGTGGCTCATCAGGAGAAGGAGACGCGGCAGCTGCAGCGCCCTGGGTCTGCTCGCCTCTTCCCCCTGCCCGGGCGGGACCACAAGTATGCAGTAGAGATCCGGGGCCAGCTGAACGGCTCGGCAGGCCCTGGGCACAGCGAGCTCACTCTGCTGTGGGATCGGACTGGTGTGCCAGGAGGCAGTGTGAGTACCCAGGACCCACCTCCAACCCTAGCCACAGGCCCCAGCCTCAGATCACCTGGGCTTTCTGAACGCCAGGCCGCAAACTCTGAAATCCCTAGATTCTGGCCTCGGACTACTTAACTCTTGGCCTCTGAACTCTGAACCTCCCCTTGAACCCTGTGGCCCCTGACCTCTGCCCATAGACCCTGACCTGATCCCATAGTTTGACCCTTGTCTTCTGACTCCTCACCCTTGACCCTGCTGACCCTGACCTCTGCCCTCCATACTTTGACCTATAATAATCTCCAGATTCCTCCAGACCCTGGACCTCTACTGATTTCCTAAATCCTGACTTCCTATGTGCCTGAGTTCTCAACCTGAGTTCCAAACCCTTACTTTCAGTTAGCCCCAGACTCTGACCCCTGCCCCAGACCTTGACTGCTGTCCCTCCTGTGACCCCTTCCCCAGGAGATCTCCTTCTTCTTCCTGGAGCCTTACCGCTCGTCGGCCTGCACCTCCTATTCTTCCTGCCTGGGCTGCTTGGCAGACCAGGGCTGTGGCTGGTGCCTGACCAGTGCCAGCTGCCACCTGCGCCAGGGTGGAGCCCATTGCAGGGATGACAGGGCTGGTGGGTCCCTGCTGGTGCTGGTGCCTACCCTCTGCCCACTCTGCGAGGAGCATCGGGATTGCCATGCCTGCACCCAGGTGCCTGTGGGACCACCAGGGGAGGTCACAAGGTGGAGGCAGCCAGAGCAGGCAACAGGCAGCCAAGGGAACCCCTGGTGGGGGGCGTGGGGGAAATAGCAAGGGCTTTCTTTTGTCGTTGATCAGCAGAGCCTGGTGGGGAGGTGAGATGGAGCTAGAGAGAGAGGCACCTGGGAGTCAGGACTCTCCCTGTTGCAGGGGCCAGAGAATGCAACTCCACCCTTTTCCACTAGCGGGGAGTTTCTCAGCACAGGCACTGGAGCCCAGGAGTAGGCCTTCAGGCCTGCCAGCTCCTAGTGATGTCAGGCAGCCCTCGACACCCTGCTTCCTCTTGTTCCCTGGGAGGGTTTGTTTCTTTGTGAGTTAAAGCTTCAGTCTCTCAGTCCTTGCTCTGTCTCAAACAGTGAGGCTTTCTGTTTCTCTCCCCTCACCCCACCACCATCCAGAAGCTCAACAGAAGTCCCAGGATTGTACTTCAGTGGCTCTGGTTGGGCCTTGTGCAGGCTCCTGGGCCAATGACTGGAGTTGGGGGGAGGGAGTGTGGCCCCTTGCCCACCTCTGGATCCTGAGGATTGAATCAGCCCCACCCGGACCACACAGAAGGGGCGCTGTTGCCCAAAAGAGAGAGTCGGTGCTGGGCAGGCAGATCTATGGGTGTCTGTGGCTGAAGGGAGGGGTCCAGAGATGCAGGCAGCTGGGGAGGGAGATGGCCTTGCAGGGACAGTCTGCAGGGTGGGGCAGGGGGTGGGATAGGCACTGGGATCCCAAAGGAGATGGCTGAGTGGGGTTCTGACTCCTCTGCCCAACTGACCCCCAGGACCCCTTCTGTGAGTGGCATCAGAGCACCAGCCGCAAAGGAGACGCGGCTTGCAGCCGGCGGGGCCGGGGTCGGGGTGCCATAAAGAGTCCAGACGAGTGTCCCCCACTCTGCAACCAGTGAGTCTGGCTGGGTCCAGGGAGTGGGTGGGTGGATGTGCCCACGGATGTGGGCTGGCTGTGGAGTGACCTGGCCACCCGCTCCCCGCCCCAGGCGACTGACCTGTGAGGACTGCCTGGCCAACTCGAGCCAGTGCGCCTGGTGCCAGTCCACCCACACCTGCTTCCTGTTTGCCGCCTACCTGGCCCGGTACCCACACGGGGGCTGTCGAGGCTGGGATGACAGGTACGGTCCCTGGGGCAGGGTTAACAGAGGAAGATCCCCACTGGCAAGGGGCCAGGGCTCTGACCCCCACCCCTGCCATCCTGCAGTGTGCACTCGGAGCCACGGTGCCGGAGCTGCGATGGGTTCCTGACCTGCCACGAGTGTCTGCAGAGCCACGAGTGTGGCTGGTGTGGCAATGAGGACAACCCCACACTGGGACGGTGAGCCCAGGCGGGCAGGTGGGCAGGGTGCCCGGCTGTGTCCTTCCTCCATGACTGGTCATTCTAATAGCCTCTTTGCTTCTCTGCCCTCTTGCCCTGACCCCATCCCATGGCCACCTTCCCTTTTCCATATTGTTTTTCTGTTGTTTATTTTACCCTCCCGCTCTTTTTTCTCAATTTGTCCTCCTTTGCCGGGTCTCTGCAACTCGTTTTCTTTCTCCTTGTCTGTTTCTGTCTCTGCTCTCCTTTTCACTGCATCTCCGTCTATGTCTCTCTTCTGTCTTCCAAAATTGTTTTTGTCTTCGACTTCTCCTGGTTTCTCTGTCCCTCTTTCCAAATCTATATTTTCGTCCCTCTCCTTGCGATTGGCCTCCTCTCTCCCTGTCATTGTTTCTATGTATGGCTCCTGTTTCTATGTTGTCCCCTGCTTCTTCACTCTCTCACCCCACAGGTGCCTACAGGGGGACTTCTCAGGGCCCCTCGGTGGGGGTAACTGCTCCCTGTGGGTGGGGGAGGGCCTGGGGCTTCCTGTGGCCCTCCCTGCCCGCTGGGCATATGCCCGCTGTCCTGACGTGGATGAGTGTCGCCTGGGCCTGGCCCGGTGCCATCCGCGGGCGACCTGCCTGAACACGCCCCTCAGCTACGAGTGTCACTGCCAGCGGGGCTACCAGGGTGATGGCATCTCACACTGCAACCGCACGTGAGTGAGGTGGGGGTTGCTATGGAGATGTCGCCCCAGGCTGGGGCACATGGAGGTGGAGGGAGGAAGCCATCATGGCACTGGGTCCCTTCCTGTGGAACCAGCATCCTTAGTTAGCCAGGGGTTTACCTTGCAGACTAGGTCCTCGTTAGAGTGACAGGGTCCCCAGTGTAACCCTGGTTACCATGGAAACAGGGCACCCATAGGCTGTGGGCCATAGTCTTCAGCGTTGCCATGGAGGCAGAGGACGTAGTTGAAAGAGGTTTTCACAGTGGTGCTATGTGGTTGCTATAGAGACAGGTGTGGTGATGCATGGAGTTACCTTGGAGACAGGGTCACCCACGTAGTGCAAAACCATGGAAACAGCCAGTGGCTTTGATGGTGTCATGAGGTGGGTGGAGGTGATGAGGTGCTTTAGGGGCTCTGGGCCTGCCTGGCGCTTTCCCCACCCCCAACACGGCCCCTCAGGTGCTTGGAGGACTGTGGCCATGGTGTGTGCAGCGGCCCCCCGGACTTCACCTGCGTGTGCGACCTAGGCTGGACATCAGACCTGCCCCTGCCCACACCCGCCCCGGGTCCCCCAGCACCCCGCTGCTCCCGGGATTGTGGCTGCAGCTTCCACAGCCACTGCCGCAAGCGGGGCCCTGGCTTCTGCGACGAGTGCCAGGGTGAGCAGCCCTCGTCCTGGCCCCAGCCTGGACCCAGGGAGCCTCCTCCCTTCTTGGGGCTCCAGCTTGCTCTTCTTGGAGGAGGCCTCAGTGTCCCCTCATGCAGCTCTGGGTCCCCTGCCCCATTCCTGTTCCTGACTCAAACAGGTTTCAGTGCCACCCATCACTCTGGCTGGGCTTCACTTCCCCCTCTTGGGACTTGCTGTTTACCCTGATCTGAGCCTTGGTTTCTTACCTTTGAAGCAGCTGGGTGGGGTCAGGGTTTAGCTGACCCAGTAGGCCTGGGCCTGTTTCCACCCTTGACTTGACTCTATCCCACCTGCTGGGGCCTCCACAGACTGGACATGGGGAGAGCACTGCGAACGATGCCGGCCCGGCAGCTTCGGCAACGCCACGGGCTCTAGGGGCTGCCGGCCCTGCCAGTGCAATGGGCACGGGGACCCCCGCCGTGGCCACTGCGACAACCTCAGTGGGCTCTGCTTCTGCCAGGACCACACCGAGGGTGCCCACTGCCAGCTCTGCTCCCCAGGCTATTATGGGGATCCCCGGTGAGCCAGCGGGCCAGCCAGGGCTAGGTAGGGTGTGCTTGGGGATACAGTGGGGAGGGGCAGGACTGGTCTGACACTGGCTCTCCTCCATCTCCCCAGGGCCGGTGGTTCCTGCTTCCGGGAGTGTGGAGGTCGAGCCCTCCTCACCAATGTGTCCTCAGTGGCACTGGGCTCACGCCGGGTCGGGGGGCTGCTGCCTCCAGGTGGCGGGGCTGCGAGAGCCGGGCCTGGCCTGTCCTATTGTGTGTGGGTTGTCTCAGCCACTGAGGAACTACAGCCCTGTGCTCCCGGGACCCTCTGTCCCCCACTCACCCTCACCTTCTCCCCCGACAGCAGCACCCCCTGCACGGTGAGCACTGAGGAAACAAGGGTTCAGGCCCATGAGCCAGAACCATGTCCCCTGACCCAGTCTGCATCCCCAGACCCTGACCCCAGTGTTGCTTTTTTGTTTGTTTGTTTGTTTGTTTTTGTTTTTTTAATCCTTCAAAACCCAAACTCCTCCTCAGATCCCCAGTGCTTTGTTCCTAGGCCCACAGACAGACCCTCCCACTTCCCAGATAGCTTCCGATTTCCTCAGCTCCCATCTCCAGTTCTCCAGATCCTCAATCTCCCCATTCCCAGACCAGGAATGGTAAATTGTTACACCTTGTGCACCAACTCTGATTGATTGGTACTGACTGCCAGGAGCTGCATGTGGAGAAAGAGGCTTAATGCAAGAGGTGCCTGATAGATGAGCCATGTCTACTTTGGACACAGGAACGGGAGTGGTTGCCTCCCTGCCATAGTTTGACAGTCTCCCCTGGATGTTCAAACAGCCCATTTCCCAGTCTCAGATTGCCTCCCCCTCTTGAACCTCTCCTTCTCCCAGACTCCAGGTGCCCTCGTTCTCATCCTCATTGTCTCCTAATCCTCGATTCTGCACCCCTCTAGCTGAGCTACGTCCTGGCCTTTGATGGATTCCCACGCTTCCTGGACACTGGTGTTGTCCAGTCGGACCGAAGCCTCATAGCTGCCTTCTGCGGCCAGCGACGGGACAGACCCCTCACTGTTCAGGCCCTGTCTGGTACGGGGGCTGGGGAAGTGGGACCTCTTAGTCCTGGGCTATGTATCCCTTGCCCCCGAACTCATCACCTGAAGTGGGCGCAGGACCTGGGTCTGCCACTGCTTGTGGGGTGATGTAGTCCCTCACCATCTCTGGACCTCATTGTCCTTAGTTGAGAGGAAAATAGGATTGTGTTGGCTGAGCTATGTCTGCAGAGAGAAGGGCTGAATGAGACATGTCTCTGGGGCACATAGAATGTGGCTGGTGTGAGGACTCCACACCACTCACTCTTTCCAGCTAGACTGGAGTGTAGTAGCGCAATCTCAACTCACTGCAACTTCTGCCTCCCGGGCTCCAGCGATTCTCCTGCCTCAGCCTCCCAAGTAACTGGGATTACAGGCATATGCCACCATGCCTGGCTACTTTTTGTATTTTTAGTAGAGATGGGGTTTCACCATGTTGGACAGTCTGGTCTTGAACTCCTGACCTCAAGTGATTCGCCCACCTTGGCCTCCCAAAGTGCTGGGATTACAGGCATAAGCCACCATGCCCGGCCTATATATATAACTTTATTGAGGCATATTTTATATATCGTAACATATCAAGTAATTCCTGTCCCACCTGCCCCCAAATCACTATCTTTTCTAAAGAGATCCAGTCTTATGTAAGGGCAGTAGGAGTTGTAGAAGGTTTGGAGCTTGCTGAGGACAGGGCCCAATTCACGTTTTGAGGATCACTGGGCCACCATGAGTGGGGAGGAGTGTAGGCAGCCAGGAGAACCAGTAGGGGATGAGTACCAGTGTCCAGGTGAGACGGGACTTGGGCTTGGATAGCAGCTCAGGAGGTAGCTATCAGTTGGTGAGAGATTTAGGCTTGAAGATCAATCTTGATGGGTTGGCCGAGGGAGGGGGTGCAGACTGGTTCATCCTGGCGATGATTATGAATAATATGGTGCCTTCCTTCCCCGCCCAGTCACACTGGGTTTTCTCAGCATCTGGGGTTGGATGGGGCAGGAGCGTGGCTTTGCTACCAGCCTCTGGCCTCTCTCCCCACAGGGCTGCTGGTGCTGCACTGGGAGGCCAATGGCTCCTCATCCTGGGGCTTCAATGCTTCGGTGGGCTCCGCCCGCTGTGGGTCAGGGGGTCCTGGGAGCTGCCCAGTCCCCCAGGAATGCGTGCCCCAGGACGGTGCTGCAGGTGCGGGGCTCTGCCGATGTCCTCAAGGCTGGGCTGGCCCACACTGCCGGATGGCTCTGTGTCCTGAGAACTGCAATGCCCACACTGGGGCAGGAACTTGTAACCAGGTACAGGTGGGAGAGGTCAAGCCTGGTGGGACAGGGCTGGTGATCAGGGCTCCCCTGAGTCCCTTGTCATCCTCCAGAGCCTGGGTGTGTGCATCTGTGCCGAAGGCTTCGGGGGTCCTGACTGCGCCACCAAGTTGGATGGTGGGCAGCTGGTCTGGGAGACCCTCATGGACAGCCGCCTCTCAGCCGTGAGTTGCGGGTACCCACTGTCTAGGGATGGTTGCCCCCAGGTCGTTCTCCCACCTCCACTCCTGGTACCACCCCTACACCCTACACCCAGGCCTGGCACTTTGTCCTGACCCTAGCCTGATCCCTGACGTCCTCACCCACCCGTAGGACACTGCCAGCCGCTTCCTGCACCGCCTGGGCCACACCATGGTGGAGGGACCTGATGCCACCTTGTGGATGTTTGGGGGCCTGGGCCTGCCCCAGGGGCTGCTGGGAAACCTGTACAGGTGAGGACTGCCCTAGGCAGATGGGATTCACGAATGAGAGAAGGTCACCTCGGGATGCTAAGAGTCACCTCAGAGGAGTGCAGAAAAGCCTCTAAAGTAAAGGACAGCTCAAAGGATACTGGGACAGTTGTCACAGGAGGCTCACCCGGGGACACTTGGGGACCAGAGTACTTATTTAGGTGATGCTACCCCAGGGAATGGTGAGAGGATTGTCATAGGAAGGTCACCCCACGGGATGCAGGGACATCTGTCAGGCAGGGTCACCTTGAAAGATGCTGAGATGATTATAATGAGGTTGCTTTTTTGCACCCTGGCCCCAGGTACTCAGTGAGTGAGCGGCGGTGGACACAGATGCTGGCGGGAGCTGAGGATGGGGGCCCAGGCCCATCGCCCCGCTCCTTCCATGCAGCTGCATATGTGCCTGCTGGCCGTGGTGCCATGTATCTGCTGGGGGGACTCACCGCTGGGGGTGTCACCCGTGATTTCTGGGTCCTCAACCTCACCACCCTGCAATGGCGGCAGGAGAAGGTGAGCAACTCTCCCCAGCCCACTCCCCAGCCCTTCTGCTGGGCCCTGACAGAGACAGCTGTGGTAGCTCCTGCCAGCTTCACCCCCAGAGGAAACAGAAGCCCTGGACTTGAATTTCCTCAGCCATCCTGGGGCACACTGTTGTCTCGAGCCAGTCCTGGGCTGGGACACAGCTTCACTCAGCAGCAGAGAGAGGCCAGGGGAGCAAGGGCTTCCCAAAGCCACACTTCCCAAAGCCACACCAGGCTTGGGCAGGTGGAAATGCCAAGGGGCCCACTGTGCACCTGCCAGGACCCAGGCTGGTCTGACTGGCCCCTGGGGGGTCACTCCTTCCTTAGTACTTCAGGGAGGACTCTGGGGGGCTGAGGATCGCTTCTACCCACAAGGTGACCCCTGACCTCTAGCCCCATCGGTGACCTTGGCCCTCCATCCCTCAGGCCCCCCAGACCGTGGAGCTGCCAGCCGTTGCTGGTCACACCCTTACTGCCCGCCGAGGCCTATCTCTGCTCCTGGTGGGCGGTTATTCCCCGGAAAATGGCTTCAACCAGCAGCTGCTTGAGTACCAGCTGGCGACCGGCACCTGGGTGTCAGGAGCCCAGAGCGGGACACCCCCCACAGGTGGGGCTGGGGACCGGGAGGGGACAGCTCCCATGGACCTCCCGGGCATCCAGGCTTCCTGTGGGCTCTCCGTCCACTCCTGTGCTCTGTGGCCACCTGTTTCCCTCTCTTTCCTGCCCATACGCAGATTCTCAGGACCCCCTCTTGAATGTTGACGTTCTCTGTCTGTCCTTCCCAGACTCCATAATTAACTGCCCACTCCTGGCCACATGTGGCCACCGTCCCCCGCCCCCAGGCTCTGAGCTCCCTGCTCCTCAGGGTTTCTTCCTCAATCTCACTTCCTTTCTTTGATCGCTGTCCCCTAGACATTCTGGATGCCCTGTCTCCCTCCCGAGAGCCTGGTAGAACTTCCTGCCAGTTGAGGACTCCCTTCTCTTTCCCAGAGTCTCTAGTGATTGTCTGTTCGAACCCAAGTGAGAGGGATGGGTGGAGAGAGGCTCCCAGGCCTCCAGCCTCAGTGGTCACTGAACAGGGGGACCGGGAGGTCACTGGGATCAGTGGTGTTGTCAGCCCCTCCCCCAGCCTGTCACCCTGCCCCTCACCAGGTCTCTACGGTCACTCCGCCGTCTACCATGAGGCCACCGACTCCCTCTATGTGTTTGGGGGGTTCCGATTCCATGTGGAGCTGGCAGCCCCATCCCCCGAGCTCTACTCCCTGCACTGTCCTGACCGCACCTGGAGCCTGCTGGCCCCTTCTCAGGGGGCAAAGGTCAGGAAAAGAGGCCCAGACCCATGGATGTATGGGGCAGGAGGGAGGGGCCCTCTTTCCCAGCGCCCCAGGTACTGGCTCCATCCCGGATTCCTGCTTCCCCTCCTTTCTGCGTTCCCTAACTAAGCTGATAACCCCACATCTCCCCTGCTTCCATCCCTGATTTGGAGGAGAGAACCTGAGGCCGGGAGGTCAGAGGCATGAGCTCTGCCCAGCTCTGTCCTGACTTGGTGTGGCCCTGGCAGGCCCCTTCCCCGTCCTGGGTTTTTCCACTCATACAAAGCAGGACCGAGGCTCCCTGCTCTTTCTGCCTTCAAGGCCAAGGAGAATGTGTGTAGGAGGGCAGGGAGCCCTGTCTGCACTGGTTAGAGAGGCTGGTGGTTTCAGTCTACACGTTTCCAAGCCCGTCTTGGGGGCAAGGGGCTAGAAGCAAGAGACTTGAGCCTCACCCCCAGGACGCCCCCACTGTCTCTAGGGAGATTGTGTGAGGAATGTGGGTGGCTCATCTCAAGGGGTCTGGGCTAAGTTCCTAGGGAGCAGCCTGGGTCATGGGGGTTCCGGGAACTCAGGAAGGAGATGGTTCCGTGGGCTGCTCTTGCCGGCACAGGAGGTTTCCTGGAGGAAATCTCACCTCACCTGAAGGAGGTGAGATTTGATGAGAGTTAGGATTGGGTGGGCTGCGGGGGGCAGGTAGAGAAGTGCAGGGGTGACTGGAGGGCTGAGAGGGAGCAGAGGACAGCTCTGACAGCTGTCCTGTCCGCCCCCCTACCCCATCTCCCCAACAGCCCCGTCCCCGGCTTTTCCATGCCTCAGCCCTGTTAGGGGACACCATGGTGGTTCTTGGGGGGCGCTCGGACCCTGACGAGTTCAGCAGCGACGTTCTGCTCTACCAAGTCAACTGCAATGCCTGGCTTCTGCCCGACCTCACCCGTAAGTCCCCATTGTGGCTCCCAGGAGGCTGAGGGACATTGAGGAGGAGCCCCATACCCGTCCTGGGACTCCCACTCCTCAGGAGTCACTGGGCCCCTGTAGACCCACTGGCAGAGCTCCCTTCCTTCTATGTTATCTAAACACCAGGAGATGCCCTCCTTCCTTTTTTTTTTTCTTAGAGAAGTTTATTTTTTATTCTGACTGTAAAAGTAACAATGTTCACTGTATATAATTTGTAAAATAGGAAGGAAAAAAACACCCATAATCCCCCTCTCTAGAGACAACCACTATTAGACATGGGGGTGTTTCCTGCCAGTCTTTGCTGTTCATAGGTTAGAAGCGTGCCTGTCACTTGCCTTTTTATTTCAATGTTGTGAGTGACTGTTGTGAGTGTGCTTCTGCGTCTGTCTTCTTTCCTTTTTGCTTCTCTGTCTGATCCTTTGTCTCTTTTTCTGTTTTTGTTAGAGACAGGGTCTCACTCTGTGCCCAGGCTGGAGTGCAGTGATGCTATGTTGGCTCACTGTAGCATCTGCCTTCCAGGCTCAAGCAAGCAATCCTCCCTCCTCAGCCTCCCGAGTAGCTGAGACTACAGCACACCACCAGGCCTGAATAATTTTTTTTTTTTTGTAGAGACACGTTTTTACTGTGTTGCCCAGGCTGTTCTTGAACTCCTGGGCCCAAGCAGTCTACCTGCCCCAGCCTCCCAAAGTGCTGGGATTTAATTCCCTTTTTCTCTTAATCTGTCTTTTCCACTACTTCATGTCTGTCTCTCTCAATTTTGTTTTTGAGGATTTAAAACAATTGAGGTGAAAGTCGCATAACATAAAATTAACCATCTTTTTTTTTTTTTTTTTGAGATGGAGTCTCACTCTGTCGCCCAGGCTGGAGGGCAGTGGTGCGATCTCGGCTCACTGCAAGCTCCGCCTCCTGGGTTCACGCCATTCTCCTGCCTCAGCCTCCTGAGGAGCTGGGACTACAGGCGCCTGCCTCCACGCCCGGCTAATTTTTTGTGTTTTTAGTAGAGACGGGGTTTCACCATATTGGCCAGGATGGTCTCGATCTCCTGACTTCATGATCCATCTGCCTTGGCCTCCCAAAGTGCTAGGATTATAGGCATGAGCCACGTGCCCGGTCAAAATTAACCATCTTAAAAATGCATTGGTGGGGCCAGGCACAGTCGCCTGTAGTCCCAGCTACTCAGGAGACTGAGGCAGGAGAATGGCGTGAACCCGGGAGGCGGAGCTTGCAGTGAGCCGAGATTACACCACTGCCCTCCAGCCTGGACGACAGAGTGAGACTCCATCTCAAAAAAAAAAAAAAAAAAAATGCATTGGTGGCCTGGCGCAGTGGCTCTCCCTTTTTTTTTTTTTGCTTGCTGTCTCTCCTCATGTATTTCCTCTGTTTCTGCTCTTTTTTTTTTTTTTTGAGACATGGTCTTGTTCTGTTGCCCAGGCTGGAGTGCAGTGCACTGCAGCCTCAACCTCCTGGGCTCAAGTGATCCTTCTACTTTAGCCTTCCAAGTAGCTGGGGCCACAGCTGCATACCACCATGCCCCACTAATTTTTTATTGTTTATAGAGACGAGGTCTTTCTATGTTGCCCAGGCTGGTCTTGAACTCCTGGGCTCAAGCAGTCCTCCCGCCTCAGCCTCCCAAAGTGTTGGGATCAGAGGTGTGAGTCACCACATTTGGTCTTGTTTCTGCTCTCCTTTGACCCTGTGTTTCTCCTCTCTCCCTGCATCCTTCTCTGACTGGCATCATGGTGTGGGTCTCTTCCTGGAGTCTCCTGCTCTCTCTTTGTCTGAATACCCCATCTTTCCTTAGGCCCAGCCTCTGTGGGACCCCCAGTGGAGGAGTCTGTGGCCCATGCTGTGGCAGCAGTCGGGGGCCGCCTGTACATCTCCGGGGGTTTCGGGGGAGTGGCCCTGGGCCGCCTGCTGGCACTGACCCTGCCCCCTGACCCCTGCCGCCTGCTGTCCTCACCCGAAGCTTGTAACCAGTCTGGGGCCTGCACCTGGTGCCATGGGGCCTGCTTGTCCGGGGATCAGGCCCACAGGTAACCATGGCGACCATGGCAGGCAGTGGGGAGTGGAGCCCTCTGAAGGGGGTCCTGTGCTAGGCCACACCAGGACAGAGGCCTCAGGAGTACACTGTCTGGTTCAGGAAAGGGGTGAATCACCGCAGGCAGGGTGGCCGGGGGAGCTCTGAGTGGGGACACCTGCCTGGGACTGGGGTCTCATGCAAGAATACTTGCTGGAGGAGCTGAGTCTGAGCTGGGCCATAAAAGAACGGTAGAGTGGAGACCATCAGTGATTCAGAAGTGAGGCTGAGACTGGAAGCCGGAGGGGGTCAGCTCAGACAGGGCTTCCCGTGCCTGGCAGAGGCACTGGCTCCATCCAGCTTCGCAGACTCCTCAGCTGCGGTTCCGGGAATCCAGACATCCTGGACACTGAAAGTGCTTTCCTAAGCTTAGCACAGACTCACCTGGCTGCCAGTCACCCTCACTGACGTGAGGCTAATAGTGAGCCTTATTCGCCCAGTGGGTGTGTTGTCAGTTACTACAAGAATGTTAATGGTTTGATTACGGGGTGCTCCTTCCCCCAGACCCTACTGGAGGTGTTGTGTAACAGTGGGTACACCCACTGCTCTTCTAAAATCCAGAACAGTCTGAAATGTGTGTACCTCTTGGGCTTTGGGGTAAGGGATTGTGGACCCCCACTGTGCAGGGCAGGGAGCCATGGAAGAAGGCCTGAGCACGACAGGGCAGGGATGGACCTAGGCAGTAAGATCCCTGGAGCTGTTGTGAGGGGTAGAGTAACGAGAGGCTGCAGGTGGGGACCAGGTTGGGCAAGGGGCTGCAGGAATGGGGAGGAGGGGATGGTCAGAGAGAAATCCAGGAGGCAGAAGTCTTCGGTGGCTGCATGGGTGGGAGGACCTGTGGTGTGGTCCAGCATCTGCGGTCTGGGTGACAGGTGGATGTGGGACCATCTATTACCAAGTCGGGGTAGGGAGAGCCAGGCCTAGGAGGCCTGTGCTGTGTCCTGCTTGGGATGCAGGGTTGGGGACCTGCAGGACAGTGTCTGGGAGGCAGAAGGAGGGGGTCTGGATGGATGTGAGTGAGCCAGGCCTCATTCCCTTTAGACTGGGCTGTGGGGGCTCCCCCTGCTCCCCAATGCCTCGCTCCCCGGAGGAATGTCGACGTCTCCGGACCTGCAGTGAGTGCCTGGCCCGCCATCCTCGGACCCTGCAACCTGGAGATGGAGAGGTGAGTGGTGGGGGAGACGGGGATGAGAAGCGGCAGGTGTAGGGCAGGGAGGTCCTGGTCTCCACTCTGGTCAACTGTCCCACCCACCCCAGGGTCTCAGGAACCACCGAGCTCTCAGCTGGCTCAGGAGGGGTGCTGAGGGCCCCATCCAGCCTGTCTTCCCTCACCAGGCATCCGCTCCCCGCTGTAAGTGGTGTACCAACTGCCCCGAGGGTGCTTGCATTGGACGCAATGGGTCCTGCACCTCTGAGAATGACTGTCGGATCAACCAGCGAGAGGTCTTCTGGGCAGGGAACTGCTCCGAGGCTGCGTGCGGGGCTGCCGACTGCGAGCAGTGCACGCGGGAGGGCAAATGCATGTGGACACGGCAGTTCAAGAGGACGGGTGAGCAGTGGGCCCAGTTCCTGAGAGGGGAGTCTTGGGGCCTGGACTCCTGGGTCTGAGGGAGGAGGGGCTGGGGGCCTGGACTCCTAAGTCTGAGGGAGGAGGGACTGGGCCTTGATTCCTGGGTCTGACGGAGGAGGGGCTGGGGGCCTGGACTCCTGGGTCTGAGGGAGGAGGGACTGGGCCTTGATTCCTGGGTCTGACGGAGGAGGGGCTGGGGGCCTGGACTCCTGGGTCTGAGGGAGGAGGGACTGGGCCTTGATTCCTGGGTCTGACGGAGGAGGGGCTGGGGGCCTGGACTCCTGGGTCTGAGGGAGGAGGGACTGGGCCTTGATTCCTGGGTCTGAGGGAGGAGGGGCTGGGCCTGAGCTCCTGGGTCTGAGGGAGGAGGGGCTGAGCTTGTGATCTCCTGGGTCTGAGGTTCTAATCCCCATGCCCCACCCCCAGGGGAGACCCGCCGCATCCTGTCCGTGCAGCCCACCTATGACTGGACCTGTTTCAGCCACTCTCTGCTGAATGTGTCCCCCATGCCGGTGGAATCATCACCCCCACTGCCCTGCCCCACCCCTTGTCACCTCCTACCCAACTGCACCTCCTGCCTGGACTCTAAGGGAGCGGATGGGGGCTGGCAGCACTGTGTCTGGAGCAGCAGCCTGCAGCAGGTACTGTACCCAGCCAGGACCATGCCAGGCAAGGGCCCGGGCAGGTCTCCCTCCTCTCTGCCCTGGCAGGGACCTTTCTTCCACCATCTCCTCCACCCTCCTCCTTCCATCTCCCTGGCTCTAGCCACAGTCCTGCTTCCTTCTGGTGCCACCATCTCTTTCCTCCCTCGTTGCCTTGTGAGGGTCCCTGCTGTGTCCTCCAGCCATGCTTCTGTGTGTTTCCACTTTCCCAGCCCCCAGCCTCTGCCTCTCCAACTCTTGTCCATGGTATCATGGTCTCCTCATCCTTTCCATGACTTTAAACATTTTTAAATTTAATTTTTATTGTTAATTTTGTTGATATAATTCATAGGTTCACATCCACGACTCTTAATAATTTCCTCTTCAACCTCCCAAACATTTTCTGTTTCCCTCCTCTCTCTCTTTCTCTCTCTACCGATGGAACTTTTGGTTGTAAGAAAGAGACACTCCCTCGAGCTGGTTTTGTTATAAGGAAGTGGGGGTATTTGATGGACTCTGAGAGTAGGAAGTGTTGATGCTCTGCCGCTCTCAGGCCACATGACCCATAATCTTCTCAGCTGTTCTCTGCACTTCTCCATTGTCTGCTTTCTCTCGGCCTGATGTCAACACACATGGCCTCAGATGGTGGCCTTGACTCCCAGTATAGATGCCTTCTAATTCCAGAGACCACGTTCATCTCTGTGTTTGTCGGTTAGCTCACATTCTCGAGGAGAAACTCTGACTTAGTGCACGAGCTACATGTCCAGCCTTGGTGTAGTGGGATGTGGCCAGGGAGGGCTAGGAGCATGCCGTTCAAATGTGGCAGGTCAGATCTAGGCCTCTTCTAGGCTGTGGGGTGGAGAGATCATTCCTGAAGGTGGGTGTGGCCTAGGCAGGCATGTGTGTACCCGTGACAGTCCACCCCTTGGACTGCCCAGCGCATGCTCTCTTGTTTCCAGAAAGTCCATTCCAAAGATGCTTCCGCCTGACATGATTAAACTGTTGCGGTGGCAGACAAAGGCATTCGTACCCCACCCCACTGCCCCCCAGTGGGAGACAAGACACATTCACCTCCCACTGTCCCATGTGGAAGCACTGTCACTCAGCCAGAGTCCACTCCTCATTCATACTTCGATTGTGCAAGACCCACTGGAGGCAAAACTACTCACCATCCCACAACCCATGAACTAAGTGATCAGTCCAGCCACCCAGACACTAGTAGACAACAGTGCAGGGATGTGGGACACTTGCCATTTTGAGAGGTGGACTAAAGAAACCAACAATGCTTCATGGAAATCCGAGACCAGGAGGGCAGGGTGTGGAGGACCAAGAATCCCACAGACCTTGGCATCCAGTGCTAGGAGCCCTGCCTGGGAGTGGTACATATAGCTCTCACCGGGAGGTAGTTTGCCTTGTGATCAAAAGCTCAGGCTGTGAAGTCAGTGGGGTCTGGGTTTGACTCCAGCTTGGCCACTTCCTGGCTGTTTGACTTTGGATGAGTGACTTCCCCTCTCCGAGACCTCAGGGAGAGTTAGCTAAAATGGGAATCATTTCACTAGATCCTGTCCCCTAGGGAGGTTGTACCATTTAAGTGGGGGATAATTTACTTAGAGCATAGAGCAATGCCTGCCATTCAGGAAGGACTAAAAAATGGTTAATGATCATGATCATTGTTACTGTAATGAGCAGTGGTGAGAGGGCCAATCTGGCTGACCCAAGTCCTGCCACTGGGAGGGTTCCCAGTCTCCATTGTATGGGACACACCAAGAGGGTGGCTGCGGGAACTCCCCATGGGGGCTCTCGATGTGGCCAGAAGGGCAGAAGCCCCTGTGATTTTGGTCTGTGGTAAAGCAGGGGCCTCTTGTCTCCAAGCCTGGGGTTCTACTGGTGGTATGGGTACTCCCCAGATATTATTGAAATTTCCATCATTTATCTTTGTGGGAGCTCCAGGAACCAGAAGGCATACCCACAGTCCTGTGGGCATGCACTGTTCCCCCAGCCTCTTGGTGCCTGCCAGGTTCTCACATGCCTGAAGAGCTGGGATGGCTAAGGAGATTGGGGAGTGGCCAGGAGGGAGGCAAGGGGATGAGTTGGGGCCAGTGAATTGGAGAGCACAGCCTGCTCACAGGGGCCAGACGAGCATAGTGTTGATGGTGTATGTGAATGTGAGAGGGGACTTTTGCCAGACCTTCTATGAAACCTCATAGCTTTAAAGTGCTGGCTTAGCTGGGTGTGGTGGCTCAGGCCTATAATCTCAACACTTCAAGAAGCTGAGACAGATTGATTGCTTGAGGCCAGGAGTTCGAGATCTGCCTGGGCAACATAGCAAAACCCTCATCTCTACAAAAAAAAAAATTGGCCAGGTATGGTGGTGTGTGTCTGTAGTCCCAGCTACTTGGGAGGCTGAGGTGGGAGGATCACTTGTGCCTGGGAGGTTGAGGCTGCAGTGAGCCATGATTATGGCATTGCACTCCAGCCTAGGTGACAGAGCGAGACCCCATCTCTAAAACAAAAGAAAACAAAACAAAAAAAATTAGTCTGGGCGCTGTGGCTCACACCTGTAATCCCAGCACTTTGGGAGGCCAAGGTGGGTGGATCATGAGGTCAGGAGTTCAAGACCAGCCTGACCAATATGGTGAAACCCTGTCTCTACTAAAAATACAGAAATTAGCCAGGCGCGGTGGCACATGCCTGTAATCCCAGCTACTCGGGAGGCTGAGGCAGGAGAGTCGCTTGAACTTGGGTGGCAGAGGTTGCAGTGAGCTGAGATTGTGCCACTGCACTCTAGCCTCGGTGACAGAGTAAAACTCTGTCTAAAAAAAAAAAAAAAAAGAAGTGTTGGCTTAGATTCCACCACACAAATCAAACATAACAGGTGAGACCTGTTGTGATTTGGCTCAAGGGCTGCCTGATTCTAACCTTCCAGCATTGTTCTTTTTTTCTTTTTTTTTTTTTCTTTTTTTTTTTTGAGACGGAGTCTCGCTGTGCCGCCCAGGCTGGAGTGCAGTGGCCGGATCTCAGCTCACTGCAAGCTCCGCCTCCCGGGTTCACGCCATTCTCCTGCCTCAGCCTCCCGAGTAGCTGGGACTACAGGCGTCCGCCACATCGCCCGGCTAGTTTTTTGTATTTTTTTTAGTAGAGACGGGGTTTCACCGTGTTAGCCAGGATAGTCTCGATCTCCTGACCTCGTGATCCACCCGTCTCGGCCTCCCAAAGTGCTGGGATTACAGGCTTGAGCCACCGCGCCCGGCCTCTTTTTTTCTTTTTTTGGAAACGGAGTCTCGCTCTGTCGCCTAGGCTGTAGTGCAATGGTGCGATCTCAGCTCACTGCAGTCTCCACCTCCTGAGTTCGAGTGATTCTCCTGCCTCAGCCTCCTGAGTAGCTGGGACTACAGACGCATGCCACCACACCCGGCTAATTTTTGTATTTTTAGTAGAGACCGGGTGTCACCATATTGGCCAGGCTGGGCTCGAACTCCTGGCCTTTTGATCCATCTGCCTTGGCTTCCCAAAGTGCTGGGATTACAGGTGTGAGCCACCGCCTGGCCCAGCATTGTTCTTTTTAATGACTTTGGCCTGTGAGTCTGGGGCAGGCAGCGAAGACACCCTTCTCTGGTCTGCCTCCTTCCTCCCATCCACCCTCCCTCTCTTCAGCGAATTTATCATTGAGCACCTTCTTTCTGCTGGGCGCTTTGCTAGGCTGGGGGGAATGTCAGCAGACGAGTTAGAGTCCTGCTCTCAGAACTTATGTTCATACACCTTTTCCATGAACTCAGGAAATGCAGTGTATGGTGTTGGGCATCTTTGCATTTGGTCACTAGGGAGATCACTGCAGAAAGTGCTGTCCAGGACTGAGGATTCAGGGTGCTCTACCCCTCCCAGATTGTCCCACCATCTGCCAACAAGCGTCCTAAATTTAGATCTGGAAGCCCAGCCCAGCAGAGAATTTGCCTCTGGCAGTTCAGCAAGTCTCAGCTCTTTGCAGGCCCCTCAGTGGGCTCAGAGCTCCAGCCACAGCAGTCAGGGTTTTCTATTTTAGGATTCCATGGTTGCTTTGCCTTTTCTTAAGTGCTTTCAGGCAGCCAGCCCAGATTAATCTCTTTCCTCTTATACTTCACTTATGGCCCAAGCAATAAATAAAATGCCTGTATTATACACTGAGGTAAGTTCCCAAGAGCCTGAATCTCATTGTGCACATTTTTGGGGTCCTGACATATAAATATGGCTTGTGAGTTGCTACCCACCCCCTAACCAAGGACTCATCAGCTTCTCAGTGTGGGGTGGGAGAAGCCTTTTTTTTGTTTTTGCCTCAGCAGCCACATTTTTTCTTCTTTTTCTTTTTCTTTTTTTTTTTTGAGACGAGTCTCGCTGTGTCACCCAGGCTGGAGTGCAGTGACACGATCTCGGCTCACTGCAAGCTCTGCCTCCCGGGTTCACGCCATTCTCCTGCCTCAGCCTCCTGTGTAGCCGGGACTACAGGCACCCGCCACCACACCCGGCTAATTTTTTCTATTTTTAGTAGAGACGGGGTTTCACCGTGTTAGCCAGGATGGACTCGATCTCCTGACCTCGTGATCCACCCGCCTTGGCCTCCCAAAGTGCTGGGATTACATTTTTCTAAGAAACTGGTTTGCAGCCCCACTCCTGATACTCTTTTCTATCTGTTTCTCGGATCGTTGCCATTGTTCCTTTACCTGGAAGAAACAGAAGCGCTCTTAGTGAGGAGGGGAACTCCCTCCACCAATACAGTGGTACCTGTTGGAACCCAGGGTAGAAAGTACAGCAGGGCCTCATGAGGAACTGGAGACAGAGCCTGGACAGCTGCCTTTCCATCTGTCTTTGGGGCACGTGGTTCTCATCTCTGTCTCTTTCTGCAGCCTGCTCTTTTCCTGTCTGTCTGCGTCCTCTTTCTTTGATCATCATTTGCTTATCTAAACAATCCCTTCTACCCAAGTCTACATGATCTTCCAGTTTATTTTCTTTTTTTGAGACAGGGTCTTACTCTGTTGTCCAGGCTGGAGTGCAGTGGTGCAGTCACGACTCATTGCAGCCTCAATCTCCCGGGCCCACAAAATCCTTCCACCTCAGCCTCCCAAGTAGCTGGGTCTATAGGTGTGTGCCACCATGCCCAGCTAATTTTTTATTTTTTGTAGAGATGGTGTCTCACTGTGCTGCCCAGGCTGGTCTGGAACTCTTGGGCTCAAGTGATCCTTCCACTGTAGCCTCGCAAAGTATTGGGATTACAGGTGTGAGCCACTGTGGCCAGGCAACCTTCCAGTTTCAAGATCCTCCCTAGCCCGACTTCCAGCCTTGGGGTGTAGTTACAAATGCTTGAGAGGGAAAACCTGAAGACCCCAGTTAGTGTCCACTTTGCTCTACCTGTCTGTGGCCAGGGAGGGGCGAGACCTCAAAGAGGGTGTGGTCTGGGAAGATACCCAGAATGTGTTTGTTTAACCTTATTTCCCCACCTCTCTCTTCCCTGCATCCCCATCCCCCTCCCCTCCCCATACAGTGTCTGAGCCCTTCCTACCTGCCACTGCGATGTATGGCCGGAGGCTGTGGGCGGCTGCTCCGGGGACCTGAGAGCTGCTCCCTGGGCTGTGCTCAGGCAACCCAGTGTGCCTCGTGCCTGCGGCGCCCCCATTGTGGCTGGTGTGCCTGGGGGGGGCAGGATGGAGGCGGCCGCTGCATGGAGGGTGGACTCAGCGGCCCCCGTGATGGTGAGAGGGCTTTGGACATGGGGGAGAGGGATTGGCCCTTGGCTGGTGTCTGATACAGTGAACATGGGGGTACTGGGCCAGACCCAGAGGTGGGACTCAGAGGAAGCAGGAGGGAGGGCCTAGGCGGCTGGGGCAGGTGGTACAGAGGTCCAGGTAAAACGCTATATCCCTGGTGCTAGGGCTGACGTGTGGGCGTCCGGGGGCCTCCTGGGCCTTCCTGTCTTGCCCCCCCGAGGACGAGTGTGCAAACGGGCACCACGACTGCAACGAGACGCAGAATTGCCACGACCAGCCCCATGGCTATGAGTGCAGCTGCAAGACAGGCTACACCATGGACAAGTGAGGCTGCAGGTGGCGCGGGGCCAGACAGGCTAGGGTGGGAGAGTCTGTGGGAGCAGTAATGGATGAGGCCTAGAGCCAAGCAGGATGGAAGAAAAGAAAGCTTGAGGCATGAAGGCAGTGGGATTGATCCCGGAAGGGCAAGTGTGGTGAGACTGAGCAGGGAAGAATGAGTTTCATAGGGTACCCCAGTGGCCAGGCACAGTGACTCATGCCTGTAATACCAGCACTTTGGGAGGCCAAGGCAGGTGGATCACTTAAGGCCAGGAGTTTGAGACCAGCCCATAGGGAGACCCCATCTCTACAAAAAAATCAAAAAAAGAATAGGGTACCCTCAAAAGAGGAGAGGGGTTGTGGGCTACACCTGGAGTGGGCTAGATCCTGAAGAGGAGATAGCAATGGGACAGAGCAGGGATGAGCAGCCAGTTGAGAAGAGGGTGGGGTAGTGGGTTGGGCGCTAGGCCATGGAGCCATGGGGAGGGTGGCCACCTGCCCTGACCCCCACTTTGCCCCTGCAGCGTGACAGGGCTGTGCCGCCCTGTGTGCGCCCAGGGCTGCGTGAACGGCTCATGCGTGGAGCCCGACCACTGCCGCTGCCACTTTGGCTTTGTGGGCCGCAACTGCTCCACAGAATGCCGCTGCAACCGCCACAGTGAATGTGCTGGTGTTGGGGCGCGCGACCACTGCCTGCTCTGCCGCAACCACACCAAGGTGGGCCTTCTGGGGCCTCAGACCCCTGACCCTGGGACCCAGGCCCTTGCTTGCCTTCTTCCCACACTCAGGCAGCTCACATCTCATTCTGAGCCCTGATAAGCCAGGAATAGATAAGCCAGAGCCTTGTCCCAGGGAGATGTGTGGAGACTTGGGAGACGCTGCCTGGGTTTGGATCCCAGAGGATCTGCCCTGGACTAGTGGACGGAGTGGGAGCTGGGCCAGGAGGACAGGCACGTGGAGGAGGATTTGAGATAATGGAGGGAAGGGCTTTTGAGCTCAGGACTTTGGGCTGCAGGTGTGCAAGGGAAGGCAGGGGCTAAATCCCAGGGAGGCTGGGATTGTCCAAACCAGGTAGCCGAGCCTCTGCTGCCCTCCCATGGGCTCTCAGAACCAGCCCCTGTGCCCCTCACGCCCTCCTACCCCAGGTGACTCTCCAGTCTCTCTGACCACCCTGTCCTCGGTTCTCAGGGCAGCCACTGTGAGCAGTGCCTCCCGCTGTTTGTGGGTTCAGCTGTTGGGGGCGGGACCTGCCGGCCTTGCCACACCTTCTGTCGTGGAAATAGCCACGTCTGCATCTCCAAGAAGGAGTTCGAAATGGCCAAGGGAGAGCCACAGAAGTACTCACTGGACCCAGAGGAGGTGAAAGAGAGTGGGGTCAGATGCCTGGGTCTGAGGGAGGAGGGGGCTGGAGACCTGGACCCTTGGGTCTGAGGGAGGAGGGGCTGGAGGCCTGGATTCCTGGGTCTGAGCATAGAGGCTGGAGTCTTGGACTCCTGGGTCTGAGGGAAGAAGGGCTGGGGCCTGGACTCCTGGGTCTGAGGGAGGAGAGGGTGGGAGCCTGGACTCCTGGGTCTGAGGGAAGGAGTGGGCTGGTCCATGCCTTTCTGTGATCACACTGTCCTTCCTTGGCCAGATTGAAAACTGGGTGACAGAGGGTCCTAGTGAAGACGAGGCCATGTGTGTGAACTGCCAGAATAACAGCTATGGGGAGAAATGCGAGAGCTGCCTGCAGGGCTACTTCCTCCTGGACGGGAAGTGCACTAAGTAAGAGGAACGGGGGTGCCGGAGATCCGGCCCTTCTCACTGGGAGAAACTCTAGAGCCAGACCCCCTCCTTAGTCCTCCGCCCCTAGTCAGGATAGGATGACATCCCCAGGGAGCGCCCAGGCTAAGTTCGGGGTAGGGAAGGAACTGGAATGTGATGCCACTGCCTACCTCCAAGGCTAGTGCTGAAGTGCAGGCCACAGAGCGGCCCGATCGAGAACAAGATGGGACGGCTGAGGGCAGAGGCCTTGGAACAACCTCCCCTTTCCATCTCCTTCTTTCTGGGTGTTCAGTGAGTGCTGGAGTCTGTGCAACTTGGGTTCCAATCCCAATGGCAATTTAACTGCTTTGTGGCCTTGGGCAAACAGCTTGACCTCTGTGAACCTCAGTTTCCTCTTCTGGCCTGTTGCACAGAGTTGAGCTCACATAGAGGGTGTCCATCCTGGACCGCTGCAGGCCATGGGGGCTCCGTAACCCTCAACTTCTTCCCCAGATGCCAGTGTAACGGCCACGCGGACACATGTAACGAGCAGGATGGGACGGGCTGTCCGTGTCAGAACAACACAGAGACAGGCACATGCCAGGGCAGCTCCCCCAGTGACCGTCGAGACTGCTACAAGTTCCAGGTGCGGCTGCAGAAGCGAGTGATAGGCCAAGGGCCTTACACCTTGTAGAGGTCAGGGCTGGGATGAGGTAGCCAGGCTCGGGCAGGACTGACAACATGGTTCTGAATCAGTGGTTTTGGGATCAAGGGCAGCTTGACAGACTGTTCCTGAGCCCCATTCAGTTATAGGACCTGGGCGGTGATGCTGGGGACCCAGATATGAGCCTCTGGGGGACTCTCAGACTGGTTGGGAGACAGTCTCCATTACAAGTAGTCACAGCTAAAGGTGGCACATGCCAGAAAATCTATCTCATGGTAGCTGCACCGAAAAAAGAAAATGGGCTGGGCATGGTTGCTCATGCCTGTAATCCCAGAACTTTGGGAGGCTGAGGCGGGAGGATCACTTGAGCCCAGGAGTTCAAGACCAGTCTGGGCCACATAGTGAGACCCCATCTCTGAAAAAAATTTAAAAATTAGCCTGGCATGGTGGTGCACATCTGTGGTCCCAGCTACTTGGGAGGTGGAAGTGGGAGGATTGCTTGAGCCCAGGAGGTGGAGGCTGCAGGTTCTGTCTCCAAAAAAAAAAAAAAAAGAAAGAAAGAAAGAAAAAAAAAAACAGAAGACAAGAAAATGTATTGACTCTAAGAACTGAGGGTCTGGGGTCTGCCTTCAGGACTGGCTGGATCCAGGTACTCACACAATGCCATCAGGAGTCTCTCTGCATCTTGACTCTGCTTTCCTCTGCATTGGCTTCATTTTCAGGCAGAATCTTCCCAGTTGGCAGACCCCCTCTGATGAACTGAGGCTAGCAGAGATCTCACATCATTTAATACCCAGATTCAAATTCCCCTGGAGTGCATTTCCCTTTTTCTTCTGCACAGAGGCTCCTGGAGCGCCTGCACTGGCCACCTGGGTGGCTGCTGTGTTCCGGACTTGCCTCTATAATGTGCCAGGCTCCCTCCTCAGAGTACAGTTCCTGCCACCTCACCCAGCCATCTTCTCTCTCCAGTCCCAGAGGGATGAGAAAGTCCCTTGCTCTCAGTCTCCCTTGCCCATCTATGGAAACATAATAGCTGCAAAGATGCAACCCCACCCCAAATGGCAACAGTTTTACAAGCCTTACTGACCCCTAACATTTCTATCTTGGGCCAGAATTTCTCCTTTTACATTTTATTTTTTTAATTTGTAATTTAATTTAATGTTTTTGGACACAGAGTCTTGCTCTGTTGCCCAGGCTGGAGTGCAGTGGTGTGATCTTTGCTTGCGGCAACCTCCACTTTCTGGGTTCAAGGGATTTTCCTGCCTCAGCTTCCTGAGTGGCTGGGACTACAGGCATGTGCCACCATGCCTGGCTGATTTTCTATATTTGAGTAGAGATGGGGTTTCACCATGTTGCCCAGGCTAATCTCAAACTTCTGAGCTCAGGCAATCCGCCCGCCTTGGCCTCCCAAAGTGCTAGGATTACAGACGTGAGTCACCACACCCAGCCCAGAGTTTCTGCCTTCTTGATAAGGGAAAGGCCTATTGACTTTTACCAGGGAGTCTCAAGAGATTAAATCAGACCTCCTCCTCTACCAGGTCTGTTGGCTGCTCAGAAGTAGTTTTTCTTGTTTGTTTGTTTTTTTTTTGAGACGGAGTCTCACTCTGTCACCAGGCTGGAGTGCAGTGGCGCGATCTTGGCTTGCTGCAACCTCCGCCTCCCAGGTTCAAGGGATTCTTTTTGCCTCAGCCTTCTGAGTAGCTGGGACTACAGGCGCATACTACCACGCCTGGCTAATTTTTGTATTTTTAGTAGAGACGGAGTTTCACCATGTTGGCCAGGATGGTCTCAATCTCTTAACCTTATGATCTGCCCACCTTAGCCTTCCAAAGTGCTGGGATCACAGGCGTGAGTCACTGCACCTGGCCGGTTCTTTTTTTTAATGTATTTATTTTTGAGATAGGGTCTGGCTCTTTCACCCAGGCTGGAGTGCGGTGGTGCGATCTCGGCTCACTGCAACCTCTGCCTCCCCGGTTTCCGTCATTCTCCCACCTCGGCCTCCTGAGTAGCTGGAACTACAAGCATTGCGCTATCATACCTGGCTAATTTTTTTTTTTTTAGAGATGGGGTTTTAACCATGTTGCCCAGGCTAGTCTTGAACTCCTGAGCTCAAGCAATCCACTCACCTTGGCTTCTCAAAGTGTTGGGATTATAGGCATGACCCACCGTGCCTGGTCAGGCTTTTGGTGTTTTTTGTTTTTTTTTTTTTTTGATACTGGGCTTACTCTGTCACCCAGGCTAGAGTATAATGGTGCAATCATAGTTCACTGCAACCTTGAACTCCTGAGCTCAAGTGATCCTCCTGCCTCACCCTCCTGAGGAACTGTAACTATAGGTACACACCACCATGCCTGGCTAATTTAAATTTTTTTTTTTAAAGATGGGGGTCTTACTGTGTTGCCCAGACTGGTCTCGAACTCCTGGGCACAAGCGGCACTCCTGCCTCAGCCTCCCGAAGCAGTGGGATTACAGGCATGAGTCACTGCGCCTGTTTTCTCTTGGTTCTAATAGTGATTGCAGTAATAACTAGAATGCCAGGAGCACCTGCCACAGAGCTGGATGCTGTGCTGTGTAGACAGTGGTGACAGCATAGATGTGAAAGACTTTGCAAGACTGTGCTGGGGCCTCAGTGGGGTACAGACTTAAGAGGAAGACAGATTCAGAGACATCAAATGTCCTAGCTGGGCACAGTGACTCATGCCAGCACTTTGAGAGGCTGAGGCGGGCAGATCACTTGAGGTCAGGAGTTCGAGACCAGCCTGGCCAATATGATGAAACCCCTTCTCTACTAAAAATACAAAAATTAGTTGGGCGTGGTGGCAGGCACCTGTAATCCCAGCTACTCGGGAGGCTGAGGCAGGAGAATTGCTTGAACGTGGGAGGCAAAGGTTGCAGTGAGCCAGGATCACACCACTGCACTCCTGCCTGGGCAACAGAGCAAGACTCTGTCTCAGAAAAAAAAAAAAAAAAAAAAAAGAAGTATCACCCCAGATCAGGTGGTCAGTTAGGCTTGGAGCCTGGAGTGACCCTGATCTGATCTCAGAACTTGAATGGTTTCCACTAAGCCACAGGAATCTTAGCCGTTATCCATCCAGCCACACATTCATTCAGCACATAGTCATTGAGCACCTAGTATATGGCAAGCACTGTGTGGGTTGCTGGGGACACAGTAGGGAACAAAGCAGGCAAATATTCTGTTTTTAGGAGTTTGTATTCTCATGGAGGCATCCAGAAATGAACAAACAAGTCAGATGCTCATGTGTTAGGCAGTGATGAGCGCTAAGGAAAGTTAAGTAGAAAGCAGGGGCTAGGGCTGTTGGGGAGTGGGAATGGTAGACACAGGACACAGTGGCCAGGGAAGGCCTAGGTGAGAAGGAGGCTCTTGAGCAAAGACCTGAAGGAGGCAAGGGGGCCCCACAAGCTGGCACGTGAGAGGAGAACCATGCAGGCAGAGGGTCCATCAGTGCAAAGGCCCCGGGGTGGGAGGACCCCTGGCACAGTATAGAAGCATCCAGGCAGGCGGGCGAGGCTGGCTGACCCTGCACCAAGTGCCATGCGCATGATCTCAGCGGTCCTGTGAGCAAGCCATGGTTACTCCCTATGTGCAGAGCTCATGGGTTAAGTCTGTGTGCTCAGGCTCAGTGAGGTTAAGTCACTAGTCCAAGGCCACACAGCTAGCAAGGAGGTAGAGCCGGAATGCAGCAGTGTTCTTTGTTGCTGTGCCTCAGAGTGCCAGAGGCCTCAGTATCAGGGTGCTCAGGTCACTAGGGTGACACCAGGGGCAGCAGTGCTGGAGTGTCAGGTCCTGGCAAGGTCTACACTGTGGCAGAGAAGGTCCGGGGGTCACAGGGAAGTGACTGGGGCAGTGGGGGTGAGGCCCAGGGCAATGGCTACTTAGCAGTAGGTATAGAGTATTCGTCACTGCTGCTTGGGGGACAGGCTGGCACCGTGCTCAGCCCTGATGGCCACCGCCTCTAACTCTGCCCGCAGTGTGCTAAGTGCCGAGAATCATTCCATGGGAACCCGCTGGGCGGCCAGCAGTGCTACCGCCTCATCTCAGTGGAGCAGGAGTGCTGCCTGGACCCCACGTCGCAGACCAACTGCTTCCATGAGCCCAAGCGCCGGGCATTAGGCCCTGGCCGCACTGTCCTCTTTGGTGTGCAGCCCAAATTCACCAACGTGGACATCCGCCTGACGCTGGACGTGACCTTTGGGGCCGTGGACCTCTATGTCTCCACCTCTTTTGACACCTTCGTGGTCCGTGTGGCCCCTGACACTGGCGTCCATACAGTACACATCCAGGCATCCCAACCCCCACCACCTCCGCCACCCCTTGCAGATGGTGGGCCCCGGGGGGCCGGGGATCCAGGAGGAGCAGGAGCCAGCAGTGGACCGGGCGCCCCAGCAGAGCCACGGGTACGGGAGGTGTGGCCGCAGGGCCTGATTACCTACGTGACAGTGACGGAGCCGTCGGCAGTGCTGGTGGTCCACAGTGTGCGGGACCGGCTGGTCATCACCTACCCGCACGAGCACCATGCCCTCAAGTCGAGCCGCTTCTACCTGCTGCTGCTGGGTGTGGGAGACCCAAGTGGGCCCGGCACCAACGGCTCAGCCGACTCGCAGGGTCTGCTCTTCTTCCGGCAGGACCAGGCCCACATCGACCTGTTTGTCTTCTTCTCCGTCTTCTTCTCCTGCTTCTTCCTCTTCCTCTCACTCTGTGTGCTCCTCTGGAAGGCCAAACAGGCTCTGGATCAGCGGCAGGAGCAACGCCGGCACTTGCAGGAGATGACCAAGATGGCCAGCCGCCCCTTCGCCAAGGTCACTGTCTGCTTCCCACCTGACCCTACTGCCCTGGCCCCCGCCTGGAAGCCAGCTGGGCTCCCACCACCCGCCTTCCGCCGCTCTGAGCCTTTCCTGGCACCCCTGCTGCTGACAGGGGCCGGTGGTCCCTGGGGACCCATGGGAGGGGGCTGCTGCCCGCCAGCCATCCCTGCCACCACTGCTGGGCTGCGAGCTGGGCCCATCACCCTCGAGCCCACAGAAGATGGCATGGCCGGCGTGGCCACCCTGCTGCTCCAGCTGCCTGGCGGGCCCCATGCACCCAACGGTGCCTGCCTGGGGTCAGCCCTCGTCACACTGCGGCACAGGCTGCATGAGTACTGTGGGGGTGGCGGGGTTGCTGGGGGCAGTGGGCATGGGGCTGGTGTGGGCCGGAAGGGACTGTTGAGCCAGGACAACCTCACCAGCATGTCCCTCTGACATGCCAAGGGTCCTCATCCACAGCAGCTGGGTCACCCAGTGGGGCCACCCTGGACTTGGGGGCCCTTCACCTGGGGGCCCCTGGACACTGTCTCCTTGGAGACCACTGGCTCCCTTCCCTCAGGGGTGCCCCGACGGGGCCTCCTTTGTTCTGCATTCAGCAGCTATTTATTGAGTACCTACTCTGTCAGGCACTGTCATAGGCATGGGGCAAAGCAGGAATGGAGAGACGAGGTTCCCTGATCTCATGGTACTTAGGTTCTAGTGAAGGGAGACAATCAGTTCACACGCACACACCCCACATGCACACACACATGAACACTTGCACATGTGCACACACGAGTAACATGGTTTCAGAGAGGGAGAAGTGCCGTGAGGCCTCCAGAGGACGTGGCAGTGAGGGACGACGGGGTGAAGTCGGCTGGACATTCAGAGAAGCTAGACTGAGAATGCCTGAGAAGAACCAGCCACGGGAAGAGCTTCGGGAAGTGAAGGCAGAGGCCCTGGGGTGGGAGCAGGCTTGTTTTATTGGAAGGACTGGAAAACTGGCAAGTGTGACCCAGATCAAGTGTGAGGAGATGAGACTGGGGACAGGCAGGGGCTGGATCACCCAGGGCCTTGTGGACCCCACACAGGGTTTTGGGTTTTATTCTCAGGGCAACGGGAAGCTGTTGGATGGTTTGATGAAGGGGAGTGACAGGATCCGATGTACCTATTTCAGAATTTAAGAGGGCTGGGTGCGGTGGCTCATGCCTATAATCCCAGCACTTTGGGAGCCAGGGCGGGCTGATCACAAGGTCAGGAGTTCGAGACCAGCCTGGTCAATATGGTGAAACCCCGTGTCTACTAAAAATACAAAAATTAGCCGGGCGTGGTGGCGCACACCTGTAGTCCCAGCTACTTGGGAGGCTGAGGCAGGAGAATTGCTTGAACCCGGGAGGCAGAGGTTGCAGTGCACTCATATTGCGCCACTGTACTCCAACCTCGGCGACAGAGTGAGACTCCATCTCAAAAAATTTAAGAGGTCACTTAGTTGTGCTGTGGAGAATGGACTGGAGGGACAAGAGGGGCAGCAGGGATGGTGGACTGGAATAGGGTGGTGGCAATGAGTGAGTCCCGCTCAGATGCGGGATGTGTGTGGAAGAATATAATGATGGTGTGGACGTCAGGGTGAGGGAGGAGACAAATCCACGATGACCCCTAGCTTTGTGGCCTGAACTGTGGATGGCTGAGGGGGTCGTTAATTGAATGGGGGAGAGTGGGGCTTGTGAGGAAGATCAGAGTCTGGTTCTTGACATGAGATGCCCTTCAGACATCTCTTCACTCAGGTCCAACTAGGGATACAGAAACACTGAATATTTCAACAGCAGAAATTGAGTAGGGGGATTGGTAGTGCTGGCGAGGGAAGTGGCTGGGAAGAGACAGATGGCATCATGAGACAGCCTAGAGGTGAGCAGGATCCCCAGGCTGCAGGGACAAAGCTCAGCAGTGGTGTTACCTCACCGGGACCAGGGTCACGCAGCGAATGCTGGAACAACAGAGGCATGTTCAGGGGGAGCCTCAGAGGGGACAAAACCTCTGCCTGAGATCCCACCCCAGGTGGGCATGGGGGACACTGAGGTTGGGGATGAAAATGCTGGTACTGTCACTGCACAGCCCTGTTCCAGACAGTGCTATCTGGAAGATTTCTGGGCTCTCCCGCGGGGCCACGCCACACCTGAGCCACCTCCTTGGACTCCTGTTCTCTACCCCTTGAGGACCTCCCTCCCTTTGACCCTAGCTGTCTTCTTGAACTTGGGACTCTCCTTTCCCAAGACTTCCATCACTAGCTCCTGGAGAAACTGGACTCTGCATCTTCCCTTCACGTGGAGCCTCAGTGTGAGAGGCCCTGCCAATGCATGCATGTCAGAGGTGGCTGGGACCACATCGGAAGAAGAGGGGAGCGACGAAATTAACAAATAAAAAGTATGGGCAAGACCCAGGTGTCTGAGTGCATCTGCACATGTCTCAGGAGGGCTGGCTCTCAACTCTGATGCAGCCCCGAACACTGAATAACTTGGATAATTGCCCTTATGATGGTACCACTTCCAAGCTGGGATGGCTTTGTTCCTGACTGCCCCTCCTAAAGGCGGAAGGGGGAAGGGTCTGCCACAACAGAAGCATAATAAATAACAATAAACAGCTCTTGTTTCCCAGAAGGGATGCGCCGAGGGGAGACGTGGGCAGTGGCTTTTGACCCTTCCCTAGATCTTCCTCAGGGAGACCCCAGTTTGGCTCAGGAGGGGAAATAGGCTGCCTTGGTCCCAGCTACGGCTTTTTGTTGTTTTGCTTTTTGAGCGGACAGAGTCTCACTCTGTTGCCCAGACTAGTGTGCAGTGGTGTGATCTTGGCTCACTGCAACCTCCATATCCCAGGTTCAAGTGATTTGTGTGCCTCAGCCTCCCAAGTAGCTGGGATTACAGGCATGTGCCACCATGCCTGGCTAATTTTTTTATATCTTTAGAGGAGACAAGGTTCACCGTGTTGGCCAGGCTGGTCTCAAACTCCTGACCTCAAGTGATCTGCCTACCTTGGCTCCCAAAGTGCTGGGATTACAGGCATGAGCCACCGCACTTGGCCTTGGTTTTTTGTTTGTTTGTTTGTTTTTAACACAGGGTGTCTCTTTTTCTGTGACACAGGCTGGAGTGAAGTGGTGCAATCATTGCTCACTGAAGCCTCAGCTTCCTGGGCTCAAGCGATCCCCCCACTTCAGCCTCCCAAGTAGCTAGAACTACAGACGTGTACCACCTCACCCAGCTAATTTTTGTAATTTTGGTAGAGATGAGGTTTCACCATGTTGCCCAGGCTGGTCTTGAATTCTGGAGCTCAAGTGATCCTCTCCCACCTTGGCCTCCCAAAGTGTTGGGATTATAGGTGTGAGCCACCATGCCTAACTCAGGCACAGATTTTATTCCAGGCCCTGATAGAAGGGTTCGAACCAGACAGGGCCGAGAATGAAATGAGACCCTAGAACAATGAGCTTTCTCTACTTTGATGAGAGTCATAGCCAAAACTGAAAGCATTGTGAGAGCTGCTTTACCTGGTATGCACCTGGGCAAACAAAAGCCCTGATTCCTCCCAGGTGGGAGCTGGAGATCCCTCCATCAGCCTCAGCAGCGTAGGCATCTTGCTGGGTGTGTTAAACAATGTAATCTTTTCTGCACAACCCCGCTCCTAAGTGCAAGCTGGTTGCTTCATCAGGTGCTCAGCAGAGGAGGACGATGTGTTGGACTCAGAGGGTGTGTGAGTCTCCGTTATGGGCCAGGAATAACACGGTATTTTCTTTTTTCTTTTTTTTTTCGGAGATGATCTTGCTTTATCACTCAAGCTGGAGTGCAATGATGTGATCTTGGCGCACTGTAGCTTCAACCTCCTGAGAAGACGATTTGCACCATGACTGGGCCTTTTCTCTGGGATGCATAGCCACGCTCCCTGACTATCACAAATGCCCTATGGTACGTGTTCCTCCCTCCACGTCAGCCCTCCACTATCACTTCTGCCTGCACATACCTGAGTGCAAGTGGCGTATGTTGAGGTGGGAGAGAGTCTGGGCATGGAAGGCTGGATGCCTGAGTTCTAGGCTATGTGTGGCTCCCAACCCCTTGGGGATTTCAGGGATAGAGGGAATATTTTACTGAGAGCCTACAGCCCTCCAGACACTGTGCTGGGTGCTTGATGTGAGTCTTAATCTTCCTGTCATCACTGGGAGGTGCTGGCTTGGTTTTCCATTTTGCCCATTCAAAAGCTCTGTTGCCTAAGAACTCAGGGCTAATTAAGAGACGAGCCACTCACAAGCCTGTCTCCGTTGCCCCACACATTACCTCCAAAGTTGCTTCCCTTTTCTAAGCCAGTGTCTTCTGATTGCCTACAATGGGCCCCGCATTGTGCTGGGAGCTGGGGACAGAGTAGTGAACAAGGTCTCTGCCCTCATGGAGCTGATAAGCCAGTGTGGTGCCCAATAAAAAGTAAATGATGCTGGATGCTGGAAAGTGATAGAAAAGGTAGTGAGAGAGCAGGGGGTTGGCACTGCTTTTTTTTTTCTTCTTTTTTTGAGACGGAGTTTTGCTCTTGTTGCCCAGGCTGAAGTGCAATGGCGCGGTCTCTGCCTCCCGGGCTCAAATGATTCTCCTGCCTCAGCCTCCCAAGTAGCTGGGATTATAGGTGCCTGTCACCATGCCTGGCTAATTGTTGTATTTTTAGTAGAGACAGGGTTTTACTATGTTGGCCAGGCTGGTCGTGAACTCCTGACCTCAAGTGATTCACCCACCACGGCCTCCCAAAGTGCTGGGATTACAGGCTTGAGTCACCGCGCCTGGCCTGGGACTTGCTATTTAACATAGGTGGGATGGGAAGGCCTCTCTTGTAAGACGACACATGAGCAGCAATGAGGGAGTGAGCCAGAGGGACATCTGAGGGAGGAGCATTCCAGGCTGAGGGAACAGCCAGTGCAAAGGCCCTGAGGTTGGAGTGTGCCTGACATTTCAGAGAAACAAGACTCATGTGGTTGGCGCAGAGAGGGAATAAGGGGAGATAGGCAGACAAGGTCACAGAGGGAACAAGAGCCATATCCTGCAGGTCCCTGCACCACGGTGAGGACTCAAGCTTCCACTCTGTCAGGGATGGCACCATGGGAGGATTCTGAGCCTGGGAGGAATGGGCTCTGATGTAGGTGTTCACAGGATTCCCCTGGGAGGAAGAGGCTAAAGGGGTAGAAGAGGGTGGGAAGCCCAATGAGGAAGCCCCTGCGTCTGTATTGAAGAGGAGAGTGGCTGGAACAAGGTCGGGATAGCAGAGCAGGGAGAAGTGGTGAGATTCTGGATATATTCTGAAGGGAGAACCAGCAGCATTTGTTGACAGATTGGACACTGGGTGAGAGAGAAAGTGACTGAGCAACGGAACGGGTAGAGTTTGCTGTTTCCTGGCATGGCAAAGACTAGGCGGTTTGGGGATTGGGGTACCTCAGCAGTTAGGTTTTATATATGTTAGATTTGAGATGGTTCTTAGATATCCCGAGGGAAGATGTCACTCAATGAGTGGATACAGCTCCAGAGAAAGAGAGAGAGAGAGAACAGCAAATAATAGTAATATATTAATATTAGAATAGGCCGGGCATGGTGGCTCATGCCTGTAATCCCAGCACTTTGGGAGGCTGAGGCAGGCGGATCATGAGGTCAGGAGATCGAGAGCATCCTGGCTAACACGGTGAAACCCCATCTTTACTAAAAATACAAAAACATTAGCCGGGCGAGGTGGCGGGCGCCTGTAGTCCCAGCTACTCGGGAGGCTGAGGCAGGAGAATGGCACGAACCCGGGAGGCAGAGCTTGCAGTGAGCTGAGATCGTGCCACTGCACTCCAGCCTGGGCGACAGAGCAAGACTCTGCCTCAAAAAAAAAAAAAAAAAAAAAAAAAAAAAAAAAAAAATAGAATAGTTGCTATATTATACATATTATAATAACAATGATTTTGGCCAGGTGTGGTGGCTCGCCCCTGTAATCCCAGCACTTTGATAGGCCAAGATAGGCGGATTGCTTGAGGTCAGGAGTTTGAGACCAACCTGGGCAACATGGTGAAACACTGTCTTTACTAAAAATAGAAAAATTAGCCAGGCATGGTGGCACACGCTTGCAATCCCAGCTACTTGTGGGGCTGAGACACGAGAATTGCTTGAACCCAGGAGGTAGAGGTTGCAGTGAGCTGAGATGGTGCCACTGCACTCCAGTTTGGGTGACAGAACGAGATTGTCTTACGAAAACAAAAAACAATGATTTTGTTTTGTTTTGAGACAGGGTCTTTCTCTGTTACCTGGGCTGGAGTGCAGTGGCGTGATCACAGTTCACTGCAGCGTTGACTTTCTGAACTCAAGCGATCCTCCTACCATAGCCTCCAGAGTAGTTGGAACTATAGGTGTGAGCCACATGCCCAGCTAACTTTTTTTTTTTGAGACGGAGTCTCGCTCTATCACCCAGGCTAGAGTGCAGTGGCGTGATCTCGGCTCACTGTAAGCTCCGCCTCCTGGGTTCACGCCATTCTCTTGCCTCAGCCTCCTGAGTAGCTGGGACTACAGGCGCCCGCCACCATGCCCTGCTAATTTTTTGTATTTTTAGTAGAGACGGAGTTTCATTGTGTTAGCCAGGATGGTCTCTATCTGCTGACCTCGTGATCCGCCCGCCTCAGCCTCCCAAACTGCTGGGATTACAGGCGTAAACCACCAAGCCCAGCCTTGCCCAGCTAATTTTAAGAAATTTTTTCTTTTTCTTATTTTTTTCTTAGACAGGGTCTCATCCTGTGAGCTCATTGCAGCCTTCACCTTCTGGGCTCAAGTGATCATCCTGTCTTAGCCTCTCAATTAGCTGGGACTTCAGGTGCACGTCACCAGGCCCAGCTAATTTATTTATTGATTGATTGAGAAGGAGTCTTGCTCTGTCATCCAGGCTGGAGTGTTGTGGTGCAATCTCGGCTCACTGCAAATTCTGCCTCCCGGGTTCAAGTGATTTTCCTGCCTCAGCCTCCTGAGTGCTGGGATTATAGGCACCCACCACCATGCCTGGCTAATTTTTGTTTTTTTTTAGTAGAGACGGGGTTTTGCCATGTTGGCCGGGCTGGTCTTGCACTCCTGACCTTAGGTGATCCAACTGCCTCTGCCTCCCAAAATACCGGGATTACAGGCATGAGCCAGCACGCCCAGCCTCATGCCTGGTTAATTTTTGTGTATTTTTTGTAGACACGGTTTTGCCATGTTGCCCAGGCTGGTCTCGAATTCCTGGCCTCAAGCGATCCTCCTGCCTCAGCCTCCCAAAGTGCTGGGATTACAGGCGTGACTGCTCCTGGCTCAAAAATTTTTCATAGAGATGTCTCGCTGTGTTGCCCAGGCTGGTCTCCAAATCCTGGCCTGAAGTGATACTCCTGCCTCAGCCATCCCAAAGCATTGAGATTAGAGGCAGGAGCCACCACATCCAGCCCACAGTGATTTGAGTTCACATTTTGGCCTTTCCCTCTATTCCATCTCTTGTTCTCACAATAGCCATATGACATGCTAGGGATTGTTAGCCCCAGAGGGGGAATCAGGTTCAGAAAGGTTTATGAATTCACTAAGATAACACAGCTAAATGTTGAGGAGTCAAGATTAGATCCCAGGTCTGTCCAATTTTGAGACCTGAACATTTTTTGATCTGCTGTTGGTTGCTTTTGCAGGAAAGAGCATTGATTGAAGTAGACAGTTCCTAAAAGTTCCTTTTTAGGCCAGGCGCGGTGGCTCATGTCTGTAATCCCAGCACTTTGGGAGGCCACGGTGGGAGGATCACCTGAGGTCAGGAGTTCAAGACCAGCCTGACCAACATGGAGAAACCCCCCTCTCTACCAAAAATGCAAAATTAGCTGGGGATGGTGGCGCATGCCTGTAATCCCAACTACTCGGGAGGCTGAGGCAGGAGAATCGCTTGAACCCAGGAGGCGGAGGTTGTGGTGAGCTAAGATCACGCCATTGCACTACAGCCTGGGCGACAAGAGCGAAATTACGTCTCAAAAAAAAAAAAAGAAGAAGAAGAAGAAGGAGCCGGGCGCGGTGGCTCACGCCTGTACTCCTAGTACTTTGGGAGGCCAAGGCAGGCAGATCACGAGGTCAGGAGATCGAGATCATCCTGGCTAACACGGTGAAACCCTGTCTACTAAAAATACAAAAAAAAATAAATATTAGCCGGGCGTGGTGGCGGGCGCCTGTAGTCCCAGCTACTCGGGAGGCTGAGGCAGGAGAATGGTGTGAACCCGGGAGGCAGAGCTTACAGTGAGGCGAGATCGCGCCATTGCACTCCAGCCTGGGCAACAGAGTGAGACTCCGTCTCAAAAAAAAAAGAAAAAATAAATAAAAAAATATTCCTTTTTAGCTCCAGAGAGCCTTAAGCTTGGAAGTTCTCTGCTTTGGAGACAAAAGTCGCCGACGCCTGTTCGAATTGTGTGCAGGCCAAACAGTCCATAGGCATGGAGCAAGCAAGGGCGCTCTCCTGTGTTGTTCCTTTGAACTTCAGTGCCCCCGCCCTCCCAAGACTGACTTTCTGGTTTTGCTTATTTTCAGAGTGCAGGCAGCTTCACGCAGGGAGTCTGCAGCTAAAGCGTTAGTGGTTTTACTTTGTTAAGGTGAGGGCGCCTGGGGTTTGGGAGGGATAACTTGCCAAAGTCACACACTGCCTGGCGGGGTCACACGTAGGCATCTGTAGTGTCCCCACCTCTCTCACCAATCCTCTCTCTCCACCCAGATTCCTACCCTGGGACAAAATGGATGTAGGCGGAGTTGGTTTTCAGGTTTTTATTGTGGGTGTATTTCTGGCAGCGAGACAGGGGTGGTGAGGCAGTCCCTCCCAGGAGTGGCCAGATAAGGCCAGAGGTGAGACTGGTGGAAAAGGACGGGGAAGACAGGGAACTTCCTTACTCTCGGATCTTCAGCTCCCGCGCCATCTGGCAGAGCGCGCAGGGCAGACAAAAGGTGAGGGCCGCCCAGTCGTGCCCGACGGAGCCCTAGAGGGTGGGAGAGAGCGGTCAGGAGCCCTGCCGTGGGTCCCAGGAGGCCAGTCCCCAGCTCCCTGCTCCCGCGGGTCCCCAGTCCCGCGCGCACCTGAATGTGGTAGCGCTCCCGCATGCCGGTGCGGATGGAGTGCAGGCCTCCGGGCAGGTAGGGCGCGCAGCAGCACTCGCCGAAGTCGTCGGAGATGCGGCAGGCGAGGCACAGAGGAGCAAAAGTGCCGCACAGACCTGGGTGGGGCGTAGGCGGTCAGGGGCGGGCCAGCCGGGGCCTCCCAACGGCTCCGCCCCGGGGAGGGGCACGGCTGATTAGTCGCAGAGGGGCATGAGGGTCCCAGCCAAGGAGAGGTCCCGGAGGGAATTAGTCCAAGGAGAGAATGGCTTAGCGATTGGAAGATAGGGTTTTTCTTTTTCTTCTTCTTCGTCCTCTGTTTTTAGAAATTGGAGGCCGCGCGCGGTGGCTCACGCCCGTAAGCCCAGCACTTTGGGAGGCCGAGGCGGGCGGATCACAATGTCAGGGGTTTGAGACCAGCCTGGCCAACATGGTGAAACCACGTCTCTACTAAAAATACAAAGATTAGCCGGGCGTGGTGGTGTGCGCCTGTAATCTCAGCTACTTGGGAGGCTGAGGCAGGAGAATTGCTTGAACCTGGGAGGCGGAGGTTGCAGTGAGCCTAGACTGTGCCATTGCATTCCAGCTTGGGCGACAGAGCAATACTCCGTCTCAAAAAAAAAAAAAAAAAGAAAAAGAAAAAGAAAAGAAAAAAAGAAAGAAAGAAAACTAAATTAAAGTCACGCTCTGTCATCCAGGCTGGAGTGCAATGGTGTGATCACACGGCTCACTGTAGCCTCGATCTGCTGTGCTCAAACAATCCTCCCGCCTCAGCCTGCCGAATAGCTTGGGACTACTGGTGTGTGCCACTACCCCTGGCTAATTTCATTTTTTATTTTTATTTTTTTGAGATGGAGTCTCACACTGTTGCCCCGACTGGAGTGCAGTGGCGCAATCTTGGCTCACTGCAACCTCTGTCTCCCGGGTTCAAGCAATTTTCTGCCTCAGCCTCCCGAGTAGCTGAGTTTACAGGCGCCCGCCACCACACCCGGTTAATTTTTTGTATTTTTAGTAGAGACGTGGTTTCACCATCTTGGCCAGACTGGTCTTGAACTCCTGACCTCGTGATCCACCTGCCACGGCCTCCCAAAGTGCTGGGATTACAGGCGTGAGCCAGTGCACTGGGCCAGGAGTTATGGTTTGAAGAGGGAGCTAGGCGTCACAGTGAGGAAAGCTAAGAGTGCAAGGGGGAGGTTGAGGGCCCGAGAAGTTGAGTGTAGGAAGGCATGAGGTAGTATCCTAGGGAGTGTTGGGAGTCTGAGGAAAGGGTGAGTGTTAAAGAGTGGGAATTCCGAGTCCAAGGAAGGGAGGTGGGAGTGGGGTTAGCAAGCGGTGGGAGGAGGTTGGAGGTGAGCTTCCCTCTCCTAATTTCCCCCAAACCCGCCTTCCACTGGGCCTGGAGAGGGAGCAGGCAGGCACTCACAGACAGGCATGTCGTTGCAGCAGTCCGTGAGACCTGTGTGCCAGTCACTGAGCTGGGTCTGGTAGCAGCTGGTGGTGGCGCACTGGGGCTGACTGGTCACGGGGTAGGACATAGCTGCAGAGGTGGGAGGGTAGGGGTCAGCTGGCAGCCTCGCAGCACCTCCTGCGCCCTGCACTTCTGCCACCCTTCCCTCTGCCGGGCAGTCTGGGCGGGGCCACCAGGCCGCCCACTGAAGGGGCACCACTGTGCCTCCCCCTTCCCTTCTGCCACATCTGGGTACCGGCAACCCCAGTCTGTCCCTGTTGCTACTGGGTCCTGCACGTCTGGTTAGGCTGGGGGTGAGGGTCTCCTGCACATCCGAGGAAGGGTGGGAACCACATCTGGGTGGGGCCTGGCAGTGCCTCCTCCTCCTCCATGTCTGGGCCTGGGTTCTGGGTTGCAGCATTTCTGGGGCCTCTGGGGTGGAAGCAGGCGCCGTCTGTCTTCGAAGCAAGGGTGCCCAGGGGAGGGAGGCGGCCAGGTTCCAGTACTGAGAGGGTTGCTGGTCCACCCAGTGATCCCACCTTTGCCTTTCACGTTGTCGTGCATCTCAAACTGCATCTTGCTGGCCCTGAGGAGGTGGCGTTGGGGACGGCAGAAGTGGCTGCAGCGACAGTGGCAGAGTCTGTCCAAGGGACACTGGATACTGGGGAGGTGGGGGCAAGGGACTGGGGCACCGGGGGCTGGGCTCTCAGGGGTAGAGGAGCTGGGGAGAAAGAGGCCAAGTCAGCCTGCTGGCCAGGAGAGACAAGGAGTAGGGAATGGATAGGGTGGGGGCGAGAAACTCGCCCATTGCTTTCCAACTGCCCGACAGATGGCAGAGGACCCTCCCCATACCCGAGGTAGAGCTTGAGAGAGAATAAGAAATGGAGATGGACAGAGTCAGAGACAAGGGGAGAAATATCAGAGCCAGGTGCCCACAGAGATGTCACCAGTAACGCCCACATGTGCCCAGCACTTTGACTCCTCTGCAAGCCCATCTCACAGATGAACACTGAGGCTCAGAGACATGAGGAGGAACACCCCGCGTCTGACGGCCCAGGCCAAGGGGGTTCATAGAGGTGATGCTGGGCCACAGGACTTCTAAATTCAGCTCAGCCCACCCCAGTTAAGAAGGAGGGATTTGGGGGCATTGGGAAGGACAGAGATGTCCCGAGAGACAGACATTCAGAGATACGAAAGGAGACAGAGTGATATGAGTGGGATGAGGAGGAGGGAGATCAGAGCAGAGGCACCCAACTTCAAAGAAGAGGGCTGTAGAGGGGTTGCTCCTACCTGCAGGACCGTGAGGCAGTGATGGAGACAGAGGTGTGGAGACACAGGCACTGACTTCTCCCTCTCAGCCCAGAGCCACTTATATGGGCGGCCACACAGCCCTGGGCGGGGCTCTGACAGAGGTGCCCAGGGAGCCAAGCCGGTCTGGTGGACCCTCTCCCCGAACTGGGATTTCCCGCCCTCCCTCTCCACTCCCATCACCCCACTTCCCCTCCTGCTTCAGCTCCCAGGACTGAGGGGAGAGAAGGCGGCAGGGTGGGGTGGGGTAGGGGTGTGGGGGGCCACAGCTGCGTCAATGTGCGGAGACCAAAAGAGAGGGAGAGACAGAAACACAGTGTCAGAAGGGCAGGCAGGGAAGTCCCTCTAGACAGAAGGGAGAGACACAGGAAGATGTAGAGGGATGGAGAGGTGCCAAGAAACAGAGGAGCACAAACATGTGAAAAGAAATAACAAGAAGAGGGGAGATGGGCCAGGTATGGTGGCTCTCGCCTGTAATCCCAACACTTTGGGAGGCTGAGGCGAGAGGATCGCCTGAGCGTAGGAGTTGGAGACCAGCCTGGGCAACATGGGGAGACCCCATCTCTACAAAAAATACAAATAAAATTAGCCGGGCATGGTGGCATGTGCCTGTAGTCCCAGCTACTTGAGAGGCTGAGGCAGGAGGATTGCTTGAGTCCAGAAGGTTGAGTCTGCAGTGAGCCGTGTTCCTGCCACTGCACTCCAGCCTCAGTGACAGAGCGAGACCCTGTCTCAAAAAAAAAAAAAAAAAAATGGGGAGATGGGAGACAGAAGAGAGATGGAGATGGAAAAGTGGAGAGGCAGGTGGGGGAATCACTGAACAGGCTTAGAGGGTAGGGAAATGGGGAGAGGTGATGGGTGGGGAGAGAGAAAGGCCAGGTGGAGTGCGAGAGAGTGCTGTGTGGGGCTCCCCTTTCAGGGTCTCTCATCAGACTCTCAGTGATGTCCCCACTTTCCTGGGAGAGGGGGACAATGTCCTCCCCATTTAAGCCAGGAGACACATGGGGGGCAGTGTGTTTTGGGGAATGACTCATGTTGGAACCAAAGTAAATAAACACACCTCACCCCAGCTCCAAATTGGGAAGGGAGGAGGGTGGGAACTGAAAAGCCGCAGTTCCTGAAGGACATGGACGTCACCCGGGACTCCTGGGTCCTAATGGAGCAAAGGACTGGGGGCTTGGACCCCGGGGTCTGAGGGAGGAGGGGCTGGGGCCCCGGACTCCCATGTCTCATGAGGCCAGGAGCACATCCCTCAGTAAGGTAGGGGTCCTGGGATTCCACACTGCTGGGCTCCTGAGCAGGGAAGGAGCTGGGGGCCTGGATGCCTGAGTCGCCAAAGTCTCCCCTCAACAGGCCTGACGGGGTTGGGAGGTGACTCAGTGAGGGAAGCAGTGTTAGAGCTGGGTGGGGTTCTCAGCACGGGTGTCACCCCAAAAATGTAGGAGGTACTAGAAAACTGGGGTGTCACCTGCAGAGAAGGTGGTGTCATCACCCTACGGTATGGGGTGATGGCAGGTGGATCGCCCTGCTAGCCTGGGATCCGAGGTATCCCCTCCCTGCCTCCAACACATTAGGACCCAAGCCTTGGTCTCCCAGCACCACCCAGATGGTTGAGTCTCCTTGTCCCCAGAACTCCTGGCAGCGCTCACTGTCTTGCCGGTGCACGTCCATCATTGGCCCTGGAGCCTGGATGTCTGGGGAACATCTCCTTCCCACTTGTGTCCTAACATCCCTGTCTCCCCATCTCTGAATCTTTGTCTCTCACCCTGCATCTTCACCTTTCCAGCTGTGAATCTCTCTTTCTTTCCTCATCTCTGCAAATCTCTTTCCAAATCTCTGTCTCTCCATTTCTGGGTCCCTCTCCTTCCAGGCTCTGTGTCTCTATGCCCTTATCCCAGGGTCTCTGTCTCCTAAGTCAAAATCTCTTCTGAATCTCGCTTCCCATCTCTCTTCATCTCCAGAACTGCCCCGTGGAGGCAGCCACAGGGCCCCATCCCCCCTGCTGTCCAGACTAAGGGTGCAGGTGACTCAAGGTCAGTCATCTCCGAGGACCCTAGGGCTCCCAGGATGACACTCTGAGTTGTCCTCAAGTTTCCTCTCTCACTCCTGACACAGCCTGGGGGCCCCAATTAGATCTAGCAATTCCTGCAGGTGAGGAAATAGAGACTGGGGAAGCTGTGAGGTGGCCTGCTTGGGGGCGAGGAGGGCCGTGAGCAGGAGGAGGAGCTCCTGGGGGGCTGAGGAGTGATGGTGGCCCAGTCACCAGGCATCGGCCTACATCCTCCTCAGACAGGGTTGCCACATAAAATACAGGATGTCCTGTAAAATCTGAAATTCAGATAAGCAACAAACAGTTTTTTTTTAGTATAAGTATGTTTCATGCAGTATTTGGGACATATTTATACTAAAAAAGTATTTGTTATTTATCTAAAATTCAAATTAAATTGGGCTTCCTATAGTTTTATTTGCTAAATCTGGAACCCTACCATCAAAGACAGAGGAATCCAGGACTCCGGCCCCCTCTTTTCGCAGAATCTAGGAGTCCAGGCCCCAGCCTTCCATCCTCAGGATCTGAGAGTCCAGGTCCCAATCCTCCTCTTCCCCCTTAGAAGGAATGGGACACCCAACCCCCTCCTCCTTTGGAAATACAGGAGTCCAGGCTCCCAGGCCCTTTCTCCCCAGAACCCAGGCATCCAGACCAGGTCTGAGTCCAGTTGCCCAACATGGGTCAGTCATCACTTGGGTTTCACAAGGTGGGTTGTGCCATCTGTGGCCCTGGTGGAACCGGTCGGGCTGAGCGGACAAGTGGGGTGGCCCCCCTTCCCATCCTCAACCTGCTGTTTCCTTGAGGGCCAGCCCAGCGGGGCTGGGAGCGGAACAGGAGGGACTTGGGGAGCTCTGGGTGTGCCCCTGTGTTTCTGTGTGTTGTGTCTCTGTGTGTGGTTGTGACCAATTGTCATGACAATCCCTGACTATCATGATGTGTCTCTGTGCTTTTTCTGTGGTCTGTGGTGTGATATGAGAGGGTCTCTTCTATTTGTGTGTCTGTATTGCCCTCCTGTGAGTCCACACACTGCGCTGCCGTTTGGGTGTGTTCGCAGTTACTGTGATTCTGTAATTCTGGTGGATTAAGGCAGCAATTATGTATTGAATGGTAGCCTTATGTGATGGACTCTGGAGCCAGAAAGCCTGGGAAAGCCTGGGTTCAAATTCTTTTTTTTTTGAGACCGAGTTTCGCTCTTGTTTCCCAGGCTGGAGGGCAATGGTGAGATCTCAGCTTACCGCAACCTCCACCTCCCAGGTTCAAGCAATTCACCTGCCTCAGCCTCCCGAGTAACTGAGATTACAGGCGTGCACCACCATGCCCGGCTAATTTTTTGCATTTTTAGTAGAGACAGGGTTTCTCCATGTTGGCAGGCTGGTCTTGAACTTTCAACCTCAGGTGATCCACCTGCCTCGGCCTCCCAAAGTGCAGGGATTACAGGCGTGAGCCACCACGCCCAGCCTCAAATTCTTTTTTTATTGAGACAAAGTCTCACTCTGTTGTCCAGGCTGGAGTGCAGTGAGTGGGAGGACTCCCTGCAGCCTTGACCTCCCTGACTCAAGCCTCCTGAGTAGCTGGGACCACAGGTGTGCACCACCATGCCAGCTAATTTCTAAAACTTTTTTGTAGCGACAGAGTCTTGCTATGTTGCCCAGGCTGGTCTCAAACTCCTGGGCCCAAGCAATCCTGCTTCTGCCTCCGAAAGTGTTGAGATTAAAGGCATGAGCCACTGTGCCCAGCCTGGGTTCAAATTCTGACTGCTGGCTGGGCATGGTGGCTCACACCTGTAATCCCAGCACTTTGGGAGGCTGAGGCAGGCAGGTCACTTGAGGTCAGGAGTTCGAGACCAGCCTGGTCAATATGGTGAAACCCTGTCTCTAGTAAAAACACACACAAAAAATTAGCTGGGTGTGGTGGCATGTGCCTGTAGTCCCAGCTATTCGGGAGGTTGAGGCAGGAGAACTGCTTGAACCCAGGAGGCGGAAGTTGTAGTGAGCTGAGATCGCACCATTGCACTCCAGCCTGGGTGACAGGACAAGTCTCCATCTAAAAAAAAAAAAAAAAACAAACCCCACCAAATTCTGATTGCCTGTCAGTGGCTGTGAAACCTTGGGCGAGTCACTAAACTTCTTTGGATCTCAATTTTCCCACCTATAAGATGGGTTGTTGCAAATAAGGTTGTTGAGAGCATTAAATAAAAAGTGTGGCTGGGCGCGGTGGCTCACGCCTATAATCCCAGCACCTTGGGAGGCTGAGGTGGGCGGATCACCTGAGGTCAGGAGTTCATGACCAGCCTGGCCAAGATGGTGAAACCCCATCTCTACTAAAAATACAAAAACTAGCCGGTCATGGTGGTGTGTGCCTGTAGTCCCAGCCACTTGGGAGGCTGGGCCAGGAGAATTGCTTGAACCCAGGAGGCAGAGATTGCAGTAAGCCGAGATCGCGCCACTGCACTCCAGCTTGGGCAACAGAGTGAGACACCATCTCAAAAAAAAAAAAAAAAAAAAAGTGCTTGGAATTGTGCCTGTCACATAGGAAACATTTTTTGTTGCTGCTGCTGATGACGATGATGTGTTCTTCTGGTTGCCGGGGATACAGTAGGGAATTAACCCAGGTCTTTGCTCAGTTCCTTCTGGTAGGAGCTGGATGAGTGGCCTCTCAGTGACTGGTCATGTAATTTCATCGCTGGGGTGTCTGTTTTGCATGTGGAATAGGATATTTCTTGTGTGCTGTGATCACGGGTGATTCTGTGATTGTGTGCCTGTATTTGTGTTTGTGCTTGTAGGTGATTGTATTACTGTGTGTGTGTGATTCTTTGTGTGGGTGTAAATGCAAGATCAAATCTAACACAAACTGTGAAGGCACATGTTTGGTGTGATCTTGCATTTCTGACTGCGGTGCTGGCAGTGTGTCTGTAATTGGACTCTTGAGAACCCTTCTCTCAGCTGTGAGGCCACTCCCTTACATAATGTCCTGTACCTGACCCCTGGGAGAAAGATCTTCCAAAATGAGCCTTGGTTTCTCCCTAATGGGGATAGTGGGCCCAGTGGCTCGAGGAGAAAGGTGAGGTTGAAAGGGAAGGTGGGAGGAGACTGGTGAGGCGAGGGGGAGGCTAAGAGACGTGATGGTGACACAGAAAAACGTAACTGGATGGGGACAGAGGAAGAGCTGCGCAGAGATGGGGATCTCCGTCCATTCATTCCATGAGCATTTCCTGAGCCCCTGCAATGTGCCAGGACCTCTGGTCGGTTCAGGGTCTGGGGGAAAGCAGAGAGACCCAGAGAGATGAATGCCCACCAGGGAAGCTGTTGCTGCTCCAGGGTGGCCCTCTGCCTCCACAATGGGCCTCAGTGACAGTTCTGAGTGACGGAGATGCAGCGATGGGGAGGGACAGAAAAGGCCAGATCTGTCCAGATCAAAGAACAGAGGCCGTGGGGGAAAGGTCCCTTCCAGGCTAAGGGCACTGCCATGAATCATTTTCTTATCACCTCCTAATAGGCTCATGATGCATCTGCACCTCCTAATCACTATTTTCGACCCCAACCGGGCTCACACCCACAGCCAGAAGGGTTGGACAAGCTTAGTATCATGGATTCGCGGGGGAAAATACCTGGGAGATCCCATCCTTGGCCCTGCCTTCCCCAGGACCCAGGAGTCCGAGTCTCCAGCTCTCCACTCCCCCAGCCCCAGGAGTCCTAGCTCTTGGCTCCTCTCCTTTTGTTTGTTGCCTGCATTTTCTTTTTTCTCTCTGGGCCTGTAACTCTTTGTTTATCTCCATCTGTGTTTTGTGTCTCTCTTGTATTTTTACATCTGTATTTTGATTCTCCCTCACTGGGCCTCAATTTTCTCACTTGTAAACTGGGGATAATAATAATAGTAATAATCCAATCTCTCAGAGCTGTGACGAGGAAGACATGAGATAATTATGTAAAATGCTCAGCACAGAACCAGGCCACAGTAAACTCAGTACAAGAGAGCTCTATTATTATTACTGTTTTATTTTTGCTATTTCCCCTTTGGTATCTCTGTTTTTCTCGTGGTCTCACGTGAGTCTCCAGTCTCCTCCAGTTCTGGGTTCCTTTTGCAGACAGCACCTGCCTCTGACTTCCCTTTTCGGGATGAGGAAAGGGCATATCTAGGCCAGAGCTTCCCCTGAGCCTCTTCCTTCTCCCTCTCTATTCCAAGCTCCACCTCATTACCTCCACGTGCCTGGGGGTAAGGCCTGGCTCCCTTCCCATAAATAGCCTGATAAAATCCTGAACCCCAAACCTGTCATCCCTGGGCGGGCGAGTGACTCAAGATCCCGTAGTTCCCGCTCCTAGACATCAAACCTTTAGGTTTCCAGCCCCCTCCTCCCTCTGACCCAGGAGTCCGGGCCCCTAGTCCCTCCTTCCTCGGGTCCCAGGGTTCTCCTCCTTCAGAACCAAGGAGTCTGAACTCTCAAATCCCTAAACTTCCTGAAGACCCAAGGATCTGGTCAGCAAACAGCCTAGGTATTGAGGGCCAGAAATTCTATTCGCGGCCACTCGGCGACCGTCTACGCCCAGGGCTCCCATCCTGACTCAGCCCCTCCGGAGGCGGGTCCGACACGCCAGGCGCTTCTTTGGAGTCTGGCTGCGATAAGCTATCCCTGACGTCAGTCACTATCTTCCAGCCAATGGACACTCGGCCTTCTACCTCCCTGGGCCACTCAGGACGCTTTGCCTAGTAGGCGGGGCCCACAGCCCAACTCGGGCAGCGATAGGCTTTTCGAGACGCCAGTCTCTGCCAGCCCCCATCAGTCGGCCAATAGACCCGGAACCTGAGAGATCCGAATCCGGGTCCACTCCGCAGAGGGCCCAGCGGGCTCGCGAGGGAACCGGTTCTGCGGGTCTGGCCGGGTAAGCCCTTTCCAGCACGCCTGGTATTGGGAGTCTGGACATAGCTTGGGTGGGAAACCGTGAGGCTTGGTGAGGCTCGAGGCGGAGGGGGGAGCTCAGTCCCGGCGAACCCATCTTGCTTTCTTGGAGAAACTGAGACCGGGATGCTGGATCTCAGTTATTCATCCGTTCCTCACACCCTACGCCTGATTCTCGTCTGCTCCTGCCTTCCTGCTCCTCATCCGTTCAGCCCTTCCTGCCCTCCTTAATTCCCTCACTCACGGATTCCCTTGTCTAGCCACTCACTCACGGATTCCCTCGTCTAGCCACTCACTCACACACTCTCCCACCTATTACTTAGACAAACATTTCCTGAGGCTTCTGGTGTGCCAAGCCTTGTGCTGGGCGATGCTGGTGACCAAGATGAGTCAGGCCTGGGCCGTGCCCTCAAGGAGCCCGGGCCAGATGGGAGGACGGACATCGATGGGCATGGGTGTGCAGAGACGGTGGGGAGCCCAGGAGAGACTTTTTTGAGTTTGGCGTGGTCGGGAAAGGGTTGCCAGGGGAGGGGCCATTGGAGCTGGATCTTGGAGGAGCAGGAGATGCCAGGCAAAGTGGGGGTGCCAGTTTGCAAAGTGGTTGTGGGGAGGGTGTTTCAGCGTGACCCAAGACAGGGAGGCATGCAGGAGTAGTACTGTGCGCAGGTGCCCAAGCGGAAGGCCAGTCAAGTCTGTGTGGCCAGCAGGGGAACTGTAAGGCTGGAGGAGGCTGAAGAGATGGGCAGAGGCCACGCTGAGGAGCTTGGAGTTTGTCCTGAGGGTGAGGGGGTAGTGGAGAGCCATGGAAGGGTTGAGAGTAGCGAAGGACAAGGTCATAGTTGGACCAGAACTGGAGGAATGAGACTGGAAGCCAGTAGCCCAGGAGGTGGCTCTGGCAGGGATTCAGGCAGGAGAGAGTGGAGCCTGGATCAGGGAAGAGGCCGAGGGGATAAGATAGAGATTCAGGAGGCAAGACTGGGTGCCATGGCTCATGTCTGTAATCCTAGCATTTTGGGAGGTTGAGGTGGGAGGATCACTTGAGGCCAGGAGTTCAAGACCAGCCTGGGCAGCACAGTGACAGCCTCATCTCTACAAAAAATTAGTTGGGTGTGGCTGGGCACGGTGGCTCATGCCTGTAGTCCCAGCACTTTGGGAGGCCAAGGTGGGTGGATCACGAGGTCAGGAGTTCAAGACCAGCCTGGCCAAGATGGTGAAACCCCGTCTTTACTAAAAATACAAAAAATTAGCCAGGCGTGGTGGTGGGCACCTGTAATCCCAGCCACTTAGGAGGCTGAGGCAGAAAATTGCTTGAACCTGGGAGGCGGAGGTTGCAGCAGTGAGCTGAGATTGTGCCACTGCACTCCAGCCTGGGTGACAGAGTAAGACTCTGTCTCAAACAAACAAACAAACAGACAAAAAAAACCGGGTGTGGTGGTGCGTGCCTGTGGTCCCAGCTACTGAGGAGGCTTAGGCAGGAGGATCACTTGAGCCCGGGAAGTCGAGGCTGCAGTGAGCCAAGATCTTGCCACTGTACTCCAACCTGCACAACAGTGAGACCCTGTCTCCAAAAAAAAAAAAAAAAAAAAAAAAAGAAAAAGAAAAAATAGGCAGGGCGCGGTGGCTCACGCCTGTAATTCCAGCACTTTGGGAGGCCGAGGCGGGCGGATCACGAGGTCAGGAGATCGAGACCATCCTGGCTAACACAGTGAAACCCCGTCTCTACTAAAAATACAAAAAAATTAGCCGGGCGTGGTGGCAGGCGCCTGTAGTCCCAGCTACTTGGGAGGCTGAGGCAGGAGAATGGCGTGAACCCGGGAGGCAGAGCTTGCAGTGAGCCGAGACTGCGCCACTGCACTCCAGCATGGGCGACAGAGTGAGACTCCGTCTCAAAAAAAAAAAAAAAAAAGAAAAATAAATAAATAAATAAATAAATAAATAAGGAGATTCCGGAAGCAGAGAGAACAGAAAGTGGGGATTGATGGGCTATGGGACAAGGCCGTGTCCAGGATGAGACCCAGAGCTCTGGCCTGGAGGACAATGGAGCCATCCCTGAGGTGGGGACAGGAAAGAGGAGCAGGTTGATGGGTAGTGACTGTTTGGACAGAGGTGAGCAAGGGGTTCTATGAGTTGGACAAGGGGAGCAGTGACTCAGGCCAGTGGACCTGGACCTTCAGGAAGAGTTCTGGGCTACAGAACTGCTTGTCCTACCTGCCCAGGCTTCCTGGAAAGGTTCCAGTCCCTTGGCTCCACCTAGACTGCATTGTGTGTGTGTGTGTGTGTTTTTTTTTGAGACACAGTCTCATTCTGTCACCCAGGCTGGAGCTCCCTGGGGCTCCCTGCCCCAGCACAGGCCCTGACTCAGAAGTCACTTGCTGGGTGAACGAGGACCTTTGAGCTGAGGATCCCTTGCTTCTCACCCACCCCCCAGGAAACCACTTTCTTGTTTCTGCAGCTTCAGTCTCTCCCACCCCTCCAGCATTCAAACATGTCCAGCATCTCTAAACACAGGCGCCTTGTATCAAGCTCCCTTGTGGCGCCCACTGGCTCAATCCCTTACCTTCCACTCCCTCTTCAATGCACTATGTCTGGCTGCCCAACCGCCATGACCCTGCAGTGGCTCTGGACAAGGTCACTGAGGTCACCTGCCTATTGCTGAGACCTGAGGATAACATTTTAATCCTCATCTGACCTGGTCCACTCCCTGAAACTCCCTTCGCCCTACATCCTCCTTCCTGGGCAGCTTCCTCTCTCTCCGGCTGCTCCTTAGAACCCTCCAGCCTTGCCTTCCACTGCCCACCCTTGCCCACCCCTTTACTGGGGGCGTGATCCTCAGGGCTGTCTCTGTCCTGGCCCTCTTGTTGCTTGTCCTACCTGCCCAGGCTTCCTGGAAAGGTTCCAGTCCCTTGGCTCCACCTAGACTGCATTGTGTGTGTGTGTGTGTGTTTTTTTTTTTCTTGAGACAGAGTCTCATTCTGTCGCCCAGGCTGGAGTGCAGTGGCATAGTCTCAGCCCACTGCAACCTCTGCCTCCCAGGTTCAAGCGATTCTCTTGCCTCGGCCTCCCAATTTGTTGGGATTATAGGTATGTACCGGCACACCCGGCTAATTTTTGTATTTTTAGTAGAGACAGCGTTTCGCCATGTTGGCCGGGCTGGTCTTGAACTCCTGACCTCAGGTGATCCACCCACTACGGCCTCCCAAAGTGCTGGGATTACAGGCATGAGCCACCGCACCCAGCCCCAGCCTGCACTTCTGACCTTTGTTGCCTCCTGGATTGTCTTCCTGAGACCTTGCAGCTCATCATGTCCAGAATGGCCCTCAGCAGGTCTCACGTGTCACACACACACCTGGGCCTCCTCCTATTGAAGAGACAGCTTCACTGTCCACCTGCTCCCATGGCTAGACCTGGGTGTCATCTCTGTCCCCTTGCTGTCCTGTAACCTCATCAGGAAGTGCTGTTCTTCCCAGCTTTTATGGCTCTGGGATGCTCCACCTCCACTCCCTACCCTCACAGCTCCTGCCCCAGCTCAGGCCTCCTTCTTGGCCTGCAGGACTCCAGTTTTGCCCTTCTCTGTCCATCCCCCAGTGTCCCAGCAGAATCTTTTAGTGCCCTGAGCTGACCCTGGCCCTTTCCTGCTCAAAGCGCTCCGGTGGCTCCCCACTGCCCTCCAGTTTAGTCCAAATTATGCTCCAGGCTCTTCAGGCCCTGCTCCTGCTGACCACTCCAGGCCCTTCACGCCCCTCCCCACTTTGCACCTGACCTTCTGGTCAGGTGGAAGCTTTTTCTAGCCAGGTGGCAGCTTTGATCACTGCCAGCTGGCTCTCACAACCTGGAATGTTTTTTCTTCCTAGCAGACTTTTGTTCATCCTTTAGTGTCAAGCTCAGATCACTACCTCTGTGAAGCCCTCCCTGACTACCACAGGTGGAACCCCGGGGACTGTGACAGCCTGTGTCTGTTCTTCCCCCCTCTCTGAATCCAGGATCAGAAGCCCTTTGAAGGAACGTCCTGGGTATAAATCATCTCAACTCCAAACTCAGGGCTTACAAGGGGCCAGAGAGTTGGTCCAAGAGCTGATTGTCACAGCTGGACAGAGCTTGCATTTCCAGTTTTTGTTTTTTTGGAAAAAGGGTCTCACTCTTGCCCAAGTTGGAGTGCAGTGGTGCGATCATAGCTCACTGCAACCTCGAACTCCTGGGCTTAAGTGATCCTCCTGTCTCACCCTCCTGAGGAGCTAGGACTGCAGGGGTGTGCCACCACGCCCGACTAATTTTTAAATGTTTTTGTAGAGACTGGTCTATGTTGCCCAGGCTGGTCTCAAACTCCTGGACTCAAGCCATCCTCCTGTCTTGCCTCTCAAAGTGCTGGGATTACAGGCGTGAACCTCTGTGGCTGGCGGCATTTATAGTATTTTGAGTGCCAGTTTGTTTCTGGTTTCCTGCTGACTTTGCTCCAGTTCTGTAGGGTGTTTGGGTCACTGGAGCCTTTGAGACCCAAGACATTATTTTTAACTTTTTTTTTTTTTTTTGAGACGGAGTCTTGCTCTGCAGCCCAGGCTGGACTGCAGTGGCCGGATCTCAGCTCACTGCAAACTCCGCCTCCCGGGTTTACGCCATTCTCCTGCCTCAGCCTCCCGAGCAGCTGGGACTACAGGCGCCCGCCACCTCGCCCGGCTAGTTTTTTGTATTTTTTAGTAGAGACGGGGTTTCACCGTGTTAGCCAGGATGGTCTCGATCTCCTGACCTCGTGATCCGCCCGTCTCGGCCTCCCAAAGTGCTGGGATTACAGGCTTGAGCCACCGCGCCCGGCCAACTTTTTTTTTTTTTTTTTTTTTTTTTTTTTTTGAGACGGAGTCTCGCTCTGTCGCCCAGGCTGGAGTGCAGTGGCGCAATCTCGGCTCACTGCAAGCTCCGCCTCCCGGGTTCACGCCATTCTCCTGCCTCAGCCTCCCGAGTAGCTGGGACCACAGGCGTCCGCCACTGCGC